CATTTCCTAGATTGACCCCTGGTCGATATACCAGTCGATAGCAATAAGCGCTCAACGTTAACGCCCATCGAAGCACTCGAGGAGAGCACTGTTGTGGGATTCCCCGATCATGTCCTAGAAGACCCAGCAATGGCTTGTGGTCTGTGCAAATGTCGAATTGTCGACCCCACAGGAATTGGTTGAATTTAGTCACTCCGTATATTACGGCCAGGGCCTCTTTATCTAGTTGGCTGTAGTTTTTTTCAGCTGCGGTTAGACGCCTGGATGCAAAAGCGATAGGCCTTTCTTCCCCAGAACTTGTTCTGTGCGCCAATACCGCACCAACACCATATGGTGACACATCACAGCATAGCACCACCGGCTGGCTCGGGTGATAATACACTAGCACTGATGCAGACACCAACATCGCTTTGCTTGTATTGAACGCCGCTAGTTCCTCAGCACCCCAACTCCAGGCCTCCCCTTTTTTCAGCAGTTTATGGAGGGGATGCAACACCGATGACACGTTTGGCATAAACTTTCGGTAAAAGTTTAGTAATCCAAGGTAGCTCTGTAGTTCTTTGACATTCGAGGCTTCTGGCGCCTCGATTACCGCTTCGATTTTTTTGGGTGCAGGGTGAATTCCTTCAGCGTCAATAATGTGTCCCAAATATTCCACACTTCTTTGGAAAAGTGAACACTTTGCCAGTTTGAGTTTCAACCCGGCCTCACTTAACTTTTTTAAGACTGCCTCCAGATTCTGGCAGTGGTCATTTTCTGTTGCCCCTGTGACCAAGATGTCGTCAAAATAGACAATGGTGCCGTTACAATCTCGTAAAAGATTTTCCATCTCTCTTTGAAATATGGCGGGAGCCGACGCTACTCCGAAAGGCAGCCTGTTGTATTGAAACAGTCCTTTCTGCGTGTTAATTGTGACAAACTTCTTAACTGCCGGCTCCAGTTCAATCTGCTGGTACGCATCGCGGAGATCTAGCTAAGAGAACGTTGTTCCCCCAGCAAGCTTCGCCCACATCCCTTCCAGTCTCGGTACCGGATACACTTCTGTAATAGCCACTTGGTTGACTGTGAGTTTAAAGTCGCCACAAATTCGTATCCTACCATCCTTCTTTAGTACAGGTACGATAGGCGCCGCCCACTCTGACGTTCGTACGGGGGTCAAAATCCCGTCGCGCTGTAAGCGTTGCAACTCTTGCGCTACCAGGTCTTGCAACGCAAAAGGTACAGTTCGCGGTCGGAAAAACCTGGGTCTGGTTCCCTCCGGTACGCTGATAGTTGCTTTCATTCCTTTCAGCGTCCCTAATCCTTCAGAAAACACAAAGTGAAATCTGCCTGCCAACTCTTCAGTGCTGCTCACCTGATGCACATTGACGAGCTGATCTAGAGGCATGTTAAAAGCCCTAGCCCAGTTCCGTCCCAGAAGAGCCCGGGAACCACCTCGTACAACAAACAAAGGTAGTAGCTCAGCTTTCCCGCCAAACTCCGCCATGACCGTCGCCTTGCCGACTACGGCAGCCAGCTGACCGAAGTAGCCCCGCAGTTTAACGGTTGATGGTTCGATGACGGTATCTGGAAACCGTCTTTCGAACTCAGTCTCATCCATAACCGAAAACACAGCTCCGGTGTCCAGCTCCATTTGTACAGTTTTTCCTTGTATCGTCACTTCTGCAAAAATTGGCGGGTCCTTGAACTCTGGTGCCTCTTTTCGGCCGTTTCCTGGTAGCGCTATTTTTTCGCTCGGGTTTAACGGCCAGAGGTCCCCCACGACGCTCGAATCTGACTCTTCACTGTCTTGAGCTTGCATGACGTGCACCGAACGGTTTGCTGGTGTCTGAGTTGAGTTCAGCGTCTGCTTCGTTTTTCCTTCGCGATGTTTGTCGTTGCTGCTGACTCTTCTCTCGTGGCTTGTCTTGTTCTGGCACAGTCTTGATATATGACCTCGTTGCCGGCATTTGAAACAAACACTATTTACAAACTTGCACGTTGATTCCCGGTGCTTGCCGCCGCAACGGAAACAGCTGCGTCGCTCTTCCGCTGACTGCGCCGATGTCGACAGTGCTGTCACGCGGTTCACCGCTGTCTCGGCTGTCCCGCTCGCTCGGCCGGTGATCTGTTCAGCACCTCTCGCGGCGGCTTCCATGCTCGTGATTAACTCCACCGCCCGATCCAACGTCAAGTTAGGCTCTTCCAGTAGCCTCCTCCGCATCACGTCATTCCTGATGCCGTGCACGATGCGGTCCCGAAGGTTGTTCGCCAACTCCGCCCCAAATTCACACCGATCGGCCAATTGGCGCAGGCCGGCGACAAACTCCTTCACGGTTTCCCCGATGTCTTGTGTGCGGCAGTAGAAATGATACCGTTGTACAATCACCGACGGTCGCGGGGAGTAATGCTCTGTAAGCAACTCAAGACATCTGGCGAGAGGGGCCTCCGAAGGTCTGATGGGTGCCAGCAGCCTGCGCAGGAGTGAGTACGTTGGCCTGCCACAGCTGCTCAGAAACACGGCTCGTTGCTTGTCTGCGACGATGTTGTTCGCGATAAAGAACTGATCCACAATCTCGACATACTCTTCCCATTCCTGACCACCTTCCCCCGTGAACGGCTCTAACTTTGGCATGATGTTCGTGGTAGACTTTCATACAGAAAATATTCAGACGAAGTGCAATTGAATAGTATAATTTGGAAGGGATCCATTGCTGGTTTAATGTCGTGTCCAAGATTAAAAGTTATAGTTGCCGAACTGCAACATGCTTTCAAAAATAATCAATAATTCGCTTTTGTTCTCTCGAGTTGCATCCAGAACACGTGAAAACACGAGTTTGGGTTGGCAATGCCGCATGTGCTGCGCTCTGGACATTCCAAATATACGGCGAACAACCGACGAACTTGCCCGGCAGCGTTCGTCTCGCTCTCTGCGTCAACAGTGTTTTGACGCCGCAAGCAGCGTCGAAGCCACCGGGCCATTTTTGTCGCTTGTTTGCAACGTACTTGCTCCATTGATTTAAGCCGCTCCTCCCGTTGCCGCAGCAGTTGAGCAGTAGCTCCAACCAGAATGTCTGCCAAGGCAATGTCTTTAAGCTGCCCTAAATCGACTACTCACGTAGTGTCGGTCTGAAACCCAAGTTTCAGAAAGGATAGTGCCACCACAATTTTCTAGATATTTACCTCTAGCGTGGTCACCCGAAAGGTTTTAATTCAAAGAGTTCATCCCTGACAGGTAAACCGATACAAAAGCTCTCAAGATCAATATTATGTTATCAGAGTTTAGTAAAAACGATAACTCAACAAAAAATATAAACACTCCCCCCCCCCCCCCCCCCCGCCGTTTTACACAGAGGAACCGCCCCCTAAAATGGAGGTCTGGATCCGCCCCTGGGCAGGGCTCAGACATTGCAGCAAAAGGCCGTGAATTTCTTTTTAGAAATCCAAAGTGGTTGAGTGCAACGTCTGGAACGTCTAACAAAGTAACCCAAAACCTTTTTTTTTTTTTCTTTTTAATTTGTATAATGCAGTTTGGAATAAGTGCCAGGCACATTAAGACTACACAGTTCTGAGACTATCGTGCAATGTATCACAGTCCTTTCTGGTTCGTCTATGAATACCAGACTTTTACAGACAAACCCGAACCCAAAAAATCTGTCGGCACGTCGGTAGTTTTTGTAGTACAGCAAACTTTGTCAAAATTTCAAGTAAAAACATACTTTTCGTGTAAAACTCCTAAAAATATTAGTCGCTGGAGAAATTCAGCTATCAATGTTAGACCTCTCTTTCAAATTCCTTTTTGTTCACATTCCACCCATTGAAGAGCACGGTGAAAGAGCCCAAGTATGCGCCTGATCTAGCCACCGTGCTGTCTTCTGCATGACTAAGTCCGTCTGCCATAGTCAGCGTCACCATGGACACGAAGTGTCTTTCTTGTGGAGGAATACGCGAATGCAGGGTCTAAAGCCAGCGACAAGATACGTCATCTTCCGAGTGTCGTCTGCTAATAAGCATGCGCTAGAGAGCTCGTATTACAGAGTTGCCATCAGCTCGATCGGTGTCATGTGGTTCATGGGCCGCATTTGCATCACGAGCTGCGAGGAGGTGACGAAAGCGCGGATCGTCTGCAAACTTCTTCACCTTTCCACCCGCTTTCCTCCTCCTCGTCATGCGAAAATGCAGCGCATACACACTTGCGATTGATCGCTGCATGAGGCATCCGCCATTAAATTGCAAATGCTCCCCGTGGCTTGAGATGAACCCCCGCTTCAATTTAGGCTCCCCAGAACACGGCAATGCAAGACAAAGTCCGACGCGACGTTGTGGAGGTCGACGACGAGAGCAGAAAGCAATTGATCATCGAACCCTTGGCGGTTCCGAAGAGGCTCGGTGCACACTGGGGCTCGAGATTATATTAAAGTTTCCCCAAACGAAGCAAGGTGCAGTGTGTTTGGCAGCCTAGCTTGGAGCCCAAGCTAGCAGAGGGCGTTCGAAAGATGGCGCGGCTGCGGATGATTCGAGACGCTGTGTTCGCGTGGGCGTCATTGACATTCAATGACCATAGCAGACGGACTTTATTGTGCGGAAGGAGAAGGTGGTGTAGCAAGATTAGGTGCATACTTGGGCATTTTGTCGCAGTTCCTTTCAGTGGGTGGAATGTGAACAAAAAGAATTTGAAATAAGAACCTAACACAGATGGTTGAGTTTCTCCAGTACCTAATATTTTGACGAGCCTCACACAAAAAGCATGTTGTTCTGGCCATTCGATTTCATGTTTTCTTTCCTGGAACATGGACTCTGTCTATACTCCCTTTCATCTTACAATGGACCACAGAAGACGCCAAGAGCCATCAAAGCCGCGTGACTGTCACGCGACCTTGGGGAGAGTCACGCGATATCTCCGCAGCCAGCACTGGATGGGCTGGGAAGGCTCGTATTATCCGCCACCGGCGTATGGCAGGGTAAAACAGATTATAGCGTGTCCTCCGCAAGCAGAAAAGTTCTAGTGACAACTGACTCACCAGGTTGTGAACTTGGTGATGCCAACCGCTGGGCACAAATATGACTTCCCCAGCTTCCTGAGTTACGGTGATTCCCAGCTTCTTGTCCGCGTCACCGCGAGCACATTCCGGCAAGGTGACGTCGTATGGTAGCTTTCCCTCAGAGTCTCGCAGGGCGTCCTCGTTTCCGGGGGGGAAAAGGTGCCAGAGTTTTCTCCCACAGACATTGGCCGACCAACTGTACGATCCAAAGACGTCCGCATGGAATGGGGTCCTGAAGGCGAACGCAAAGTCAGGCTGTAAGCAGCGCATTCTACTAAGGTGCCTGGAACACGCCTCCGACCGGTGTGTTTACTACATCCTCCTGTCACTTCGTTTATTAGTTCCTCAAATGCCCACAAAGGGTTCGTACAGGTTTTCAAGAAAAAAATTCAAGGACTTTTCAAGGACCTTTCAAAAAATAAAGAACACTACAGTAGATCACACACATTATTTTTATTGCACAGAACAAAGAAAACTGACTTCACTTGAAGTTATTGCGCGTACAGTTTCATTCGACTAGGTGAAGTTAGTTCTGGAGTATGTACATAGTCTCATTCAACTACATGAAGGGCGAAAGCTCACGTTAGGTCTTTTAGTTTATTAGCTAGTTGAGTTTTAACGCTGCTGAGTTCCTCAGCCTTGGCTCTTGCGGCCTTTCTTAGACTGTTCGATTTTACCACCTTCTTGATGTCAGCAGTTGCTTCAGCCTTTTCTGCATATTCATCTGCAGAGGCCGTTAAATCGGCAACAACTGCCTCAAGCTTCTTTTTCTTCATCTGCAGCCCTTCAACCTCTTCCATGATTTTTTGCCTTTTTGTTTGCTGTGAGTTTTCCTGGCACTGTTTCTTTTGCGATTCCAGGTGTGCACTGTAATGCTGCCTCGCTGCGGACACAGCTACTCTAGCTCTTTTGAGATAGGAATGTTCAAAATCCCACCTGCCCTCTCATCTGCGTCACATATGATACGCTGTGAAATGTATGACAAACCTTTCAGATTCTCTACAGAGATCTGACGGTTTACGCTAAACCCCCGTTCATTGGTGGCCTGCCCATGGCTTAAAACAAGCAGCAGCCTGACTGCGTTCCAAAGCTCTTTGTACGAGGGATTGGAGCACAAGAGGTCACGAAAAAAACTCATCGAGCCTGCTAATGCTCCTCTCAAACATGCGGAGCTCATGCTTAAACTCTTGCAGCAGTTCAGTGTATTCTGCCAATACACATACTCGTTGGCAGTCACTCTGTCTTCCTGCCATGGTCAAGACGTCCAGCACCTTCCTTATGCCCACCAGGCACTGATCTGGCTTCGAGCACATGAGCCGCGGGTCAAGGGAAGACAGGTTTCTAGCCATGGATGTCTTCAGGGGACTTCGTTCCAGTATTTTCTTGGTCACAGCTGCCAGAAACTGTTTACACTCCATCCTGAATCGAAATGCATAATTCGCGCTTGCTCTCGAATCCTTCAGTGCTTGTACACATTTGGCGCCGATGTCCACTTCATCAAGCGCAGTGTGGTCATTAGGGTTGTCGACATCCACCCTGAGCAAACCACCAACCCCTGCCAATGAAGACAACACCGAAGCCTTCATGAACTTCACAAGGAGCTTCCGCACAACACTTTCAAGGTCTCTACCGAGAAAGAAGATCATTGGCTTGTCAGACTGGTAGTCTTTCAAGAACGGCTGAAGAATGGAAGCAACACTGAGAGCAAAGTTCAGTTTTGCCGGAGTCAAGGGGTCACGACAGAAGCTGTACAGATTTTCAAAGGATGCACACTTTGTTAAGCTCACCTGCTTACTCCTTGCAGACTCCACATATTTCTTCACATCATTCCAAAGAAGCAAAGCTCTTTCAATGACAAGTGTATTTTCCACCCATCGATGAGCCACAAAGTGCAGTGGAAATGTGTCCTGGTTGGTCACTGTGGAAAAATCTTCCCTTCGTGCTGGTGAGTCTCGCAAGAGTGCGCTCAGGCTTGTCAGCAAAATGTCAATGCCCCACTTACTGGCTACAACACCTGCTCTGAAGGCAATGTGGATGGTATGTAGGCCACACGTCCCTAAGTCAACACACTGGACCTGATGGTGTTCCTGCAAGTGCACTTGCATATTCCTGAAGAACTTAAGGTTAATGTTTGGCCCATCCATCGAGATCTGAATAGTCTTGCCAAGTGGCAAAGGCTCCAAAGCCCTGAGAAGCACTTCCTGAATATCCTCTGCCGTGGAATGCCCCATAAAAGCGGATGTGTAATATCTGGTGGCCACCTTGTGTGACGAGTCCCAATAGCACACATGCACGTCCATTTGCTTCTCTTGCAGGAAGTCATTACCCGACTCGTCAAAAAGCACGACGTAATAGTCAGACTTCTGTACCTCTTGTTGCAAGCGCGACAAGAAAAATGGCCTCAGCCCATGACATGCTACATTAGCGCATTTTTTCTCCCCACAGGAAAACGATTTGGCCACGTCGCTGTCCCGAAACATCCGCTTGAACAAGTCGCCGGTTTGTGCCGACGATCTGTACGAGTAGTGGGAGGTAATCACTTTCATTGTCCACAGAATTTCCGCATCCGTAACCACCTCGTGTGACTTGCAGGCGCTGTTTAGATCGGTCGCCTGCGACGGAGCCAAGCCAGTGAACCGCCCGCTTACGCTTGCTGCCAGATAGTTCTCCATCGAGTTTCCAGCTGCCATTTGCATGATTCCACAGTGCTTTGCACCTTTTGCATGGCTTTTGAGGGCAGATTCGCCCATCGAAGCGATGTCGAACATCTTTCTGCAGCGTGTGCATTTTGCGCAGTGAGGGTTTGCTGTATCTGGCGCAACCCAAAGCTTATAGTGGTCGTTGCTGAGTCAAGCGCTTTGGAACTTACATTTCCCGGGAATTATTCTATGCCATCTGAATGCACGAATCACTGGGTCACTACACGCACCATAAGCGACACGTGGGACAAACAGCGAACAAAGCATCCGGAGTAGGCACAGACCAGATATAAACAAAGCACAATGTGGCCAACAGACAAATCTCGGCCTATGGGGCTGTGCCTTTTTTAGTGGGTTGCCAATAAATCCAGCTAAAGACGAAGGCAAAAGAAAGAATTAAATACTACCAAATTTAACTCTCGATTCATATAACTGCATTTCCGTTGCAAATAAGCACGTTGGGGCGACATGCCTTTTTTACGAAGAGGTCGAGACTCTCCAGGCTCTCCAGCCTCATTGTGGCCACTTATGGCTTTTGGCCAACCCTGAAGTTGAAGCAAGCCAGATGAAAGAAAAGAAAATAAAAAAATGCAACGGCCGTGCGTTTTTTTTGTTTTTTTTTCTCGCGCAGGAAGTTTGATTGGTTTGACTTCGCGGTCCCGGTATCGCGGAAAGCAAGAAACGAATTTTCCCGGGACCACGACCAACCGCTATAAAACGCGGGTCGCGCAACCGAGCCCCGCGAAACGCTAAGAATTGAAGGGTTTTCAAGGATGGCAAAGATATTCCAGCACTTTCAAGGCCTTGAAAAAGCAACTTTCAAACTCAAGGGTTTTCAAGGGTTTCAAGGACCTGTGTGCACCCTGCCACAAGGGGCTCTACATAAGGGGGACATAAAGTCATTGTATGATAGAGCACACGGCCCAAAAATCAACAAAAGAAACAAGGGATAACAAGAAAAGGGAATTGTAAGTCGTAAAAAGTGACGAGTGCTTCGCGAAATTTTGATATATCGGTTATGGTTTCTATGTGGAGTTTCAAGTTGGTCTGCTTCTTTTGCAGGGGCTGTGGCGACGTCAGAACGGCGAGCTCTGATTGGCTCTGATTACAGGATAGTGGGTAGACCTCAAAGCAAGCTGCCTCGAGGTCTACCCTTCGTTCAGAACCAATCAGAGCTCGACGTTCTGGAATCACCTCAATCCCTGCGGAAGAAGCAGACGAACATGCGTTTCGCATTGAGTCTGGCAGATTGTTCCAATAGACCGATCTCACCAGGAGTTGTGCGACGCCACCGCTGCCGCGGTGCATCCTGGTACCTGTAGTTCTCCCCAGTTTTCCGGCCGCGTCGATGTGCATAGTACGCCCGGCGTTTGGAAGTTTTCGGGTTAGCACGAGACTTTTAGCCAGGTGTTTACTCATGGTTTTCAATTGCTGGCTTCACATGTTGTATGCCACGGAGCTATAATAACAGCACCAAGCAAAAAGGCCTCGGATATTATGTCTTCCCGCGAGAAAGAAGCATGGCAAAGAAAGCTCAACAGAGCCGGACAGAGCGGCAGGAAAAATAGCGTTTTACGATTTGTTTCGCGATTTGCTTCGTAATTTATATCCAACCAATTGCACGCCAGCTAAAATGTATAAGATTACAGGGCACGAGACAGAGCGTGCCAAAGTGTTCCGTAAGCTGGAATCTCTCTGACCATTTGCTCCGTAGCGGTCTATTCATTGGTCTATCTGAAATAGGACCTCCGCACTGCTTTTATGGAGGCCGTTTTTAATACACTTCTTGCTCGGTGCATTTTGGTGGTTATAACTGTTATTGCGACGACATGTTTCAAGCACAACTCTGCTTCAAAAGATTAGGACAATCACTAAAAAAAGAGCAGCGATTCCCGATATGCACCACTTGAAATAAAACAACCTTTTCAGAAGCAGCGTTCATTTTTTTTTTTTTTCATACAAACGTGAAAAGGGTACATAATGCAATTTAGAAGTGGAACACGTACCTACCGCCAAAAATGTAACAAATGAACCTCATTCATTTTGTGGTGGTCTATTAGGCTGGTATTACTGATCCAGTCTGCATTAGCACCAGTTGAGACCGCAGAAAAAAGCTTCCCCCATCGGGCGACTGTTAGCTTTCGGATCTTGCGCAAACAAAATAAAACTGATTAGAAACTGTGCACGAAAAATCATCTCCACCCCAAGCTTTCAGGTATCTGGCATGGTTGCTTCTTTTTGATAGATGCCATGCAATTATTACGTCGCGTCAGGCATGGCCTTTCTGTAGATCAGTTCTTTGTGTGCAGGCTTCTCCCGCTGTACTCTGTCGCACAGGCTGTCAACCTGAATGAAACAACTTTTAAAAAACTATCGCTCACCGAGAAAGTCTATTTAGCTCCTCTTACTTGATGGCTGATTAAACGTTATGCACAAGACTGAGCACCACCAAGCTTAGTTTTTCATCACATTTGATGCTGTTCCGTGGTGCTACACCGAGCCAATGGGCCCTCGAATTTTCTTGTTCTTTGCTACTGCACTAGATGTTCACTTGTTTGCAAGGTAATTAAGACGTCCGAGGAGTCGGAATGCTCGAATAATAGCGCCATTGTTTTTTTTTTCTTGTTTTTTTTCACAGCCGCAGTGGGATTACCGCGTGAACGGCAGTGGGTTCACGCTTTCACAAAGAGGAAGAAGCAGACGACGACGAAGCAGACAAGGCGATTTTAAAGCGATAAGACGACAAACTGCTTTTCTGCACTTGCTGAGGAACGTAAGGCATCACAAACAACACAATCTTATGAAGTAAAAACATGCAAGAGAATCAAGGTGATACCGGGGCGTGCCAAATGATAATCTATGATGATGTACGTACGCGCAGCCGTGTGTAGCCGGGAAGCCGGGAAGGGATGACTACAAGTAGCATGGCGGCGGCACCACTTCCGAATGCGTGCGCCTGCGCAGTTCGCTTGGTGGCATCGGTCTATTGTTGACAGAAAGCCCGACATTGTCATTAAAGTGTTACGCCGTTGCCTGTAGCAATCCTGGCAGTGGCACAGCGATGGAGGTGGTTGTGGCGGAGACCTCTTCCACTCACCACCGCTCATCGGCTTTGCGGTCTGCGAAAACTTGGGCAGCTGCGAGTGGGGTGCGGCAATGCGGCAATGACGGCGACACTTCCATTCATTCACACTTTTTGCCAAAACTTGAACGGCCAGGGTTGTGACGTCCGACACATGACACACCGGCTCCTGGCGGTAATCTATTGACCCTCCGGGACCACTTTTCATGCGTGGGCAGTATGGGATGCTAAACACCAGTTGAAGATGCCATTCGGGTCTCCCGTGAAGGTAACAAATGCACTAAACATAATGATAACTGCACACAGATAAGACAGAACAGACGGGGTAAGAAGACTCTTCTTTCCTCATCTGTTCTGTATTTGAGCGCGGTTACCATTATGTTTACTGCATACAAATTAGCCCACCTTACACAAATGCACCGATTGAACTCGCATTACGAATGGAATCGAAACTGCTGGTGCAAAGAATGGGCTTATCTGGGGCATCAAGCAATCAACCTAGGCAGTAAAATGGAGTGTGCGAGCTTCCAAAGAAGGTTACGCTCCACCTAAAGGCCAATGGGCAAGCAGAAAGAAGGAAGCCCCTCCTCTTTCTGGAGGGAGTAGGTTCCAAACCTGCTCTTTTTGGGTGACGAAGTGGGAAGAATACGAGGGAATGGAGAGGAAATTGAGGAAGGTTTCTCTGGCCGGTAGAAAGTGCTGCCTGTGCATACACACAGGTGAAAAACATTTTTGTATTATGTAACCGATTTTGGACAATGACAATTTTGAAACAGGCCAATGATTCAAGTTTGAACCCCTCCGCTGAGAATTACCACCTGCAAGAACTGCCAAGATTGTTAGAAAGTCAAACAGTAGTTAGTTTTACCCACTGTAGGAGTGAGGCCAGAGCTACAAGCGCAGATATTTTGCCACGAACAATGTGTGCAGAACAGAAGCGAACGAGCTTGCTATGAACGCCAAAAGCTCAGAGCTCGCTCTAGTAGCTTCTGCAACGCTCGAACTTGGGGCGTACCAGAGTATAGGTAGGGCTCTCAGTGATGTGATTGGCCTAAGCCATTTTGGAGCACCTTTTGGAGCAGTCAAAACAGTCTTTTGGAGCAGCAAATGTGGCCTTTGGAGCAACCAAAACAGTGCTTTGGAGCAGCAAAAAAAGGCTTTTGGAGCAGCCAAGACAGTGTTTTGGAGCAGCAAAAGTGGATTTTGGAGCAGATATTCTTAGAAAAATAAAAATATTTGTTTTAAGTGCTGTACAAACGAAGGGTATTTTGTATTGTGTTGTGTTCTGATGTAACGTGTTGTGACGGAACTTGCTGCTGTGTTTTTACTGCTGAGACATCCCGAAAGTGTACAGTGCCGTAGGCATTGCCGAGCAATTCCGAAAAACCGCTTGCCACCGTTTTACTGGTTCCCGATGTGCCAGATTTTCATCAAAAGTAAGCAAGCGTAAAACAATAGATTGCAAGCGTCCCAGCTGGTGCCTCTGTCGTGCAATCATGTTCATCGAGACAACCGCTGTTGTCTCCATGAACATCTCAACCAATCATGGAGACAACGGCTGTTCGATTGAAACCGAAACCATGCTACTCCCCTCCGTCGCTAAATGATTCCCAACATTGTATGCAAAATTTAACTGTCGACCATACGACAAAAAACAGTGCAGCGGCGAGTGCTTGTTAGGACGGCAGACAAGGTACAAACTAAACAGACAAAAAAAAAACGGAGCGCATCGATGCAAGACATTGCGAGCCAGGGTCAGAAAGTTCTTAGAGCGCTTTGCGTAACGACTGAACTCTGAACTCGAGACAAAAAAGCGCACTGTGCGGGTTCACCGTGGACGTTGCCTTCTTCGCTTTAGCTCACTTCTCTTCACCAAATTTCTTCCGTGGCAGATTTTTCACATACCAGGGTCTCTCTCGAAACAAAGTTCACTGAGAGAACCCTAGGTAATTAGTACTTCGACACAACAGTCTTTCAGTTAAAGAGTGATTAAAATAAGAACACCGACTTGACATAACAGAAAAAAGTGAAAGCCGTTTACAACTCCCTGTAACGCCGAATTGGAGCGCAGCTCTTGAGGAGGAGGAGGGAAGGGTACTCAGGGGAGGGTAGACCCCTCCTCCTCCTCCTTGTTCTCCTCCTCCTCCCCTCATTCTTTAATATGCTCCGGGGGGTCACCTGACCTCGGGAGGAGGGGGCACATGACCTTGGGGGGGGGGGGGGGGTCACGTGACTTGGAGGGGGTCACGTGACCTCGGAGTGTCACGTGACCTTGGGGGGTCACATGACCTTGGGGTCACCTTGGGGGGTCACGTGACCTTGAGGTGACCTAAGGAGGGGTCACGTGACCAGGGGGTCAGATGACCTTGGGGTGACCTTTGGGGGTGACCTTGGGGGTCTCTCCTCCGTCCGGTTTCACCAATGTAGGACGCTGGGCAGTCACTTCAGTGCATTTTGTAGATAATGCCTCTTTGGACGTTTGCCGGGGTTGGGTCCTTTGGTTTGGAAACGGAATTTCCAATAGTTCTGTATGGCTTGAAAACAGTTTGGATGCCAAGGGGCCTCAAAGCGCGACTAAGGGGTTTCAGAGACTCCTTTGACATAGGGGATGCACACTACATTCTTATCTCTTTCCCTTTCGCACAGTTGCACATTTTGTTCCATTCTGTTTATCTACAAAATGCCCTGAAGTGACTGCCCAGCGTCCTACATTGGTGAAACCGGACGGAGGAGAGATACCAGACTCAAAGAACACAAGCGTGACGTCACGTACGCATCCCACGCGACGCGACTGAAGACTGAACTGGTGGACCATGCGTGGACAATGGGGCACTCTTTCGACTTTCCGGCCGCGACGACCTTGGCGAGGGAGGACAGATGGGGGCCCCGAAAGCTTCTAGAATCGTGGTTTGTTCGCAGGGACACATCCATGTGTGACAAAAACCGCGGCCCTCTCCACGAAGCTTACACGGACATTCGTGATAAATAGCGTTGAGTTGAGGTTGAACCCTGCATTTGCTGTGTAACTACTGATGATGCCTCCCGCATGGGAGGCGAAACGTCTAATGAAGTTGTTTTTTCTGTTATGTCAAGTCAGTGTTCTTATTTTAATTATGACGTCTCCCGGCTTTTGGAGTATTTTTGCAGTTAAAGAGTGATTTTTATAATAACGCATGATTCAAACAAGAACAGGAATGTTGATGAACATGCGGCGTTACTTAGTCTCCTTTTAGAAAGCGACATATCTGCAGCGACGTGGGAACGGCAACACCCGATGCCGCGCGACCACGGTGACTGGAAGGCAGGGACCAAATATAGTTTCCCCATGGCTGTTGCTTTCAGGAGCTAGTGCTTCAGCTCATAAAATAACTCCCGCCGCGCAGAAACGTGGTTTCGTTTCACAGCATGACGGCATGGCTGGTACCCGGCATGCTAGCATAGGAGTGTCCGCACACACCCGTGTCTATCGTTAAAACTATGTTAAAAAAAAAACCATACCCATGAGACAACGAGAGCGTGAAACTTGAAACGGCAGGAAAACCATGCAAGACCGGATGGAAAATTGATGCAGGGTACATTGTGTCGGACGGCCACTTGCGCCACATAACACAACCATACTCAATTATGGTACTCAGTTTCAATTTTGAAAGGCGAGCGAAATTGGTTTTTTGGCGCAGGCTCGGCGCAGGTTACCCACATTTTGGCAAAATGTAGCAGCATGTAGCAGGTTTAGCCCCTTGGCGCAGTTTGGCACAATTGGCTAAGCAATCACATCACTGGGTTCTTCGTTTTCGAGTTTTATATTTTTCAAAAATCAAAGGGGGGGGGGGGGGGGGGGGGGGTAAAAATCTGGTGCTATTTTTCAGTCTGATAATTGGCAAGAAATCGGGTCTTTCTGAAGCCATTAGAAAACTAGGTTTTTTGGGGGCTTATTTAAGGAGGCCAAGTACCTGAAATATGTTATTTACACAAACAAAAGTCAAGAAAGTATATTATATAGCAATGGTGCTCGATCTTACAGTATATTTCTGACTCATTCTGAAGTGAATATATGCAGAGGTAACGCAAATCGAAGAAGTTTGTTATTATCAAACGAGTGACCGAGGAAGCAGTTCTTAAACACATCCAAAACTGTTCTTATTTCCCAAAAATTCAGCTGATTTCAAGACCACAATTCGGAGACAAAGCGGGCTTAACCTGATTTTCATAAAAACTGTTCAGAGTGCAAAAATCGGGTAATATCGGGTTTTACCCGAAAACGAAGAACCCCAAGTATAGGTGACTTCTGTGCAGCGGGTTGAAACTGGCTCAGTTCTGGTTTTGTCGAGCAAACTTTGAAATTGTTCCCAAAATTCTGAAGCATGCAGTGTTCCCTCACAAAATGTGCTTCCTGGGAGACACTTTTTCATCATCCAAAGATAGCCGCATAACATGAAAAGCTCACCAAGATCCCTTGGGTCCCATGTACACGAAGCGACAGTCGTCTTTGACGTCGGTCCTTTCGCCCCAAAACTCGTTTAACCAATCGGATGTGAAGTAGACTGGAGTCGCGTAGGCCTCGTAGTTTGCAAAATCCCTACAACAAATAAGAAAAAAACATGAGGAAAAATCGGATACAACCATCGCCATATTTTTAAATTACGAGCTAGTTGAATTTCTGGATAAATATTTGAACACAGGTAACAGTGAGAAAAATAAACCCAATGTTAAAACATTGGCTCCACGATTACAGATTTTATTCTTCAAAGTCAGGGGGAGGGGTGGGGGGGGGGGGGGGGTTTTTTCATAGGTTCGGTGTTTTTTCGGAAAACAGGAGCCGGGCATGGGATTCCACCACCTCCAGGTAACGAGCGCCTCTCCCGAATACTAGCAAAAAGTCCCGGTACCCCTGGAAGAACAAGATAAAGGGCGTGGTTCCGGAAAAATAAATCAGCCTGATGGAGAGTTCAGTCATCTTCCAAGTGAAGAGAAAATGAATGAATGAATGCAATGACTCTTCCCCCAATCAAATACTATGCTGTGGGAAGGCTGCTTCTTTTTCTAGTCGTAGATGCAAATTTTTTCTCATAAAGTTTGGGTTTTTCTTATACAAGGACAGCTCCAATTTTGGGTTGCTCGGTTTTCCAGAATGTCGACGAAAGCGTTTCGCAGGTTACTTATCTGGGTTTATCGTTATACGTCGAAAGCATGCAGCCATAGTTAGAGCATCCCCTCTCTTACAGAGTAAATTGTTCTGCATTTCAAGTCTTCCCTGCCAACATCATGATACGCTTTTGCCTCTCATTAATCAATCAATAACCAATAACAGGAGCGTTAGGCAACTATTTATGCATCCATAATCCAGTAATTTGACAGGGCACAGCTATAGATCTGGTTACAAACAAGTCAGTGTTTGCCAACACCAGGTGTGGGCACTGGACGTGCGCAGGAATCATATTCGCGTGAAGTGAAATATCTGCACATGAACCTTGCCAACAGCGACGCCATGTCAGCGGTGCAGCGTTGGTGTATAGTGTCTGCCCGCATTTGCTATAATGAATGCCCATTACACCAACATTTTAGCTATGTGCAGTACTTATTCTAAAACAAAAAGTTAGGGTGCAAACAAGCTGGTGAACATTTAGCATAATATACGACAAAGCCCCGAGACTGGGGAGAAGACGAGGACAACACAGTCTCAAAACTGTTCTGTTGATACTCGGCAGCAGGGGCAGATTTAAGGGGAGGGGGGAGAGGTGCCCCTGCCCCCCCCCCCCCCCCAGGTCCCCTAAGGGAAGCTTTTTTTATGGAAAAAAACGACACACACGAGCTTTTTTGAGAGAAATATTTAGTTTTGGGTGCATGTCATGCAGATATTAGGTCAACCAAATAGATCTGGAAATGTGACACCATATCAGACCGTGACGTCAACCTCTGTTGGCCCGCCGCACGCACGCACCTCCCCTCCCTCCCCCTCTCTCCCTCTTCCCCCCCCCACGCACGCACGCACGCACGCACGCGCGCGCACACACACACACACCTTCTATCCTCCCTCCCCCTCAGCTTCTACCCCCTGTGTTCAAACAGGGGGTAGAAGCTGAGCCAGGCTGAGCCAGTTGGTGGTACGTATTACAACGGTTAAACCAGCGATCGCTTGTCTTTCCTCCTTTCTCCCTATTTTCGTAGTTCAGCTGGTTTAACCGTTGCAAGGTGTTCAAACATTCCAAAACTGCATGCGGACTGCTACGTTTTGAAGCTAGCACGAACACCCCGTAGATTATGAAAGCTCACCTCACAAAATGCCAGTCTTTGAGGTAGAGACAGCCCCGTTTCAACGAGGTTTGCTCGGACGTACCCTGCCAGTAGTCGAGGTACTCGGACATCTTCATGTCATTTTTGAGCTGCGAATCGTAGTACCTCGTGCTGCAATCGGCCACGGGGACCGTTGCGGACCCTGACGAGAAAGCAGACCTTACAAACAAGTCGCTTTAACAAAATCCACTCGAGAATACGCACCAAATTCGGACTTCAGATACCCGAAATCGGGGGCTCCTCTGCCGTCCACCCATGCACCGACACTTCTCCAAGTTTCCGTTTGCTCGGCGCGAATGATGCAGGGCGTGTTTGTCATTAAATACTTTTGAAAGAACTCATCATACGTTGTTTCGGTCGAAACGTAATCTATCGCAGTCAATCCCTTTCCGTCACAACGCGTTTCACGTGGGTTCATCAAATCGAGCATCTTCAAAGCCTCCAAACGAAGCGCAAGTGCAACATCCGTACCGCCATGTTTAAAAACTACGGCTAATCGTTTCAGCCTCGCCTATGTAAGGTATGTAAGAGACGTAGTAACAGTTTCGTAAACTTTCATTTCGTGATAATATACTTAACTTAAGTTTCTCGCTTCAATCGCTTCGTATTTTTTGTTATTTTAATACAGCTATACTTTTATAGTTTTTTTATAATACAGTAACTTTGTAAAATATTCATGATCTCGGTGGTTTAGAATAAACGCCTCTATCCGCTCCTCCCGAGCATCTCCATCGCATCAGCTGTCAAACCCGGTATATCTTGTATTCATCCACCGATTCACCGTTACACCGTTTTATGGAGAGCTAAATATACACCCAAGGTTGCGCATAGTTCCTAAGATGAGCTTGCATTAGGACGTTATGAGTGGAACCTCGTCGCACCGACAGAAGATTCTCAAAGAAATCGGCAGTCCAACTCGTGCGACTAAAGAAGGTAAGAGAAGCTGCTCTTTCCCGCAAGGCACAAGGTACCTTTGCACCTTTGCATTTAATTGCATTATAAAGCACAAGGTACCTGCTGCGGTCAATTGACGAAACCCATGTGCGCCTCCCGCAGACATCGTCCTCTACGCCGAGCACTTGGGGATCGAGCTTCCCAATGAGCAAAATCTGCTTTGGATTGCTCAAGCCGGTCTTGAGGTATCGCTGCCGCCCCCATGGTACCCCGTGTAAGTTTTTTCTTTTTTTGTTATCATTTGTTGTTATGAATATTGTGGATAATATATTACTACACTCCAGTGTTTTCTTGTTTGCTTTATTTATTTTTTTTTTTTGTTTTTTACACGAAGCATGCGTCTAAGTCTGGGTTAATTTCCGTGCATGTAAATGTAAGATATGAGTGGAGCAAGAACTATCGATGTATTTCGTTGCAAAAAATTCCTTCTACAGGGTGTCACAAAAGAAAATTTACACGGTCTTTTTTACCGCAAAAATAAACTAGGCATCGCTGAACGCTCATTCTCCGCCCAGAGGTAGTGCTAGAGGTCACAACCAGATGCCCAAGTTTCAGCCCGATCCGATAACTTAATCAAAAGTTATAAGTGATTTTCTGAAAAGTTCAATGGGAAAATGGCAGCCGATGGAATTTTCAAACACGTGGCGCTCTGTGGCACCAGTGTTGCCAGATGGTTCCACCAAAAAACCGCCAAACGACTGGGAGGTATAGCCCAAATATAGCCAAAGCCGTAAAAAACGTTATAGCCCAAAATAGCCAAGACAAAATCATTGATAATTTCTCACGCTCATACAATACATGTTACAATCTGTTTCAACCCTCAGATGCACCACCCTTTGTGTACATTATGTTACTTGCGAATTTTTCAAGAAAAGCTTCGGAAAGATGAATATCCGTACAAAACTGGCGCTTCCTTCGTACGTTCTCAGAAGTACAAAACACACAAAGACAGCTTTATTGTGAATCCCGGTAGATATGATCGTACGAGTAAAGGAACAAAATACAGAAGCAGAACAGTCATAACACTGATCCTTCAAACTAGAACCCCAATATCTCAGGTCCTTACTAATATCCCCCCCCCCCCCCCCCTTCGGCCCGTGTCCTTTTCTTTGTGAAAAATATTAGTGTCACCCATTCATGTTCACGCTATTTCTGACTGTGTTGTCCTTTCTTGGGGTGGGCAACGACTGAAGGTAGTCAATTGTTTAGCGGTGAAACTGCGGACTTCTCATTTTCACAAACCTGGGTGCCCAAGGATTCCCACAATGGGCACCAAAGCAGCATTTGGTGAGCTCAGTCTACGTCCGGGCAGAGCCATATGCGCCCGGGTTGAAGGCGCGCTACCGGGCCTGTGGTTATAGTTCAATCTGTTTGGTTTGCTCCACTGCGCTGTAGGGAGCCCGCTTGAACTCTGCAAGCATTGCTTCACTGCGTAAGGTGAAAACCCCAAAGTTTGTAGAAGTTTGAAGCCTTTCTTCTTCCTCTCCCTCCTCTCGACTAGCCAAAAGAAAACTTTTTTTTCGTAACTGGTTAAAAGTTCGAAAATTAACAAGCCGAACCTCAAAGTTCGGCGTCGAACCTGAGGTTCGACAAAAGTTCGCCGCATTCTTAGAAATAGCCCAAAATAGCCACATAGCCAACCACGAAATTTTGACGCCAACTAGAAAAAAATGTAGCCCAATTTGGCTATATAAAGCCCAATCTGGCAACACTGTGTGGCACCAGGGGTGCTATGTTGCGCTTTTTGCACTCCCAGGAGACTTGGAAGAGGGAAGTGACGTCAACGACACAGCAAATGCAGATTGGATGTTGACAGAAGAAAACAAAATCAACACCCAATCTGCGTTTGCTGTGTACTTGACGTCACTTCCCTCTCCCTAGTCTCCTGGGAGTGCAAAAAGCGCAACATAGCCCCCCAGGAACCGAAAACGGGCAAAAATGGGGTCCGTTTTCCCATTGAAATTTTCAGAAAATCACTTATAACTTTTGATTAAGTTATCTGATCGGGTTGAAACTTTGGCATCTGGTTGTGACCTCTAGCTCTACCTTTGAACGGAGAATGAGCGTTCGGCGATGCCTAGTTTATTTTTGCGGTAAAGGAGACAGTGTAAATTTTCTTTTGTGACACCCTGTACATATAGAAGCTATCTCATTGAATATTTATTTTTAAATTAATTAAGGGAGCGTCGGGTGTGTTATTATGTTATTGCAAGCAGTTTTTTTATATCAATAGATTTATTTTAGAACTGTGCGCCTCATCGCGGCGTAATGCCACGCTATGCATTGTGCAAATCTGGCCCACAAGTTCCCAAGATGCAACGCGCGCAGTACTGATTTCTAACGGTTCAGAAAATTATTTTGAATGGTGTATCGAGCCACGCGTGATAAAACTTTCGCTTCTCAGCCTGGCCATCGCAGACTACGAAAGAAAATCCAGATTGCCTTTCTTATTTACATACCCTACTGTAATATCCTGAGCAGGCGCCCACTAAAAACTTGAAGATAATCATGTAAGGCTGGGGATGGGCGCTTTTTAGGTCAACAACACGTACAGATATGTCATTCGTGTATTTTCCAAACATTACAAATTTGAGGGGAGAGCGCTTATCGTGAAATGGGCAAATGCTCGGTATTTTACGGTAATTAAAAAAGAAATGCATCAGCCACTTATTTTCAACTTGAAACATCGAGTTACTTCTGCATCAGAAATGTTCACAAATTTGAGTGTTTGCTTTTTTTCCTCCGCTGCCAGGGAGGATTCTCAGGGGAGGATTTACTATTACAATTCGGTTACGAAGGAGACCAAGTGGGAACATCCCCTGGATTCTTACTACAAAGCTATGGTCAAGAAAGAGCGGATCAAGGCAGGACTGCAAAACTCTGCTGCTTCAGACGCAAACCTCGAAGACAGCGGAGCTTCTCTGGTGAGCGCGGCAGGTCGTGTTGGGGCGACACTCTCCTGGATAGCGTAAGGCCACGGTGTTGGACTTCCGGCATCGCCACCTACCTCGTTGGGTGTCGTCTACAAGAGGCCAATGCGGGGCACAGATCGGAAAGAAGTGCTGTTTCACTGTTTGGCTGGTACTTGTGCTCTCGCTGAATTGTGTCCGATCTGCGCTCTGCGTTGGCCTACTCTAGGCGATGCTGGAAGTTCAGCACTACAGCCTTACTGTACCTGGGGGGTGTTGGTTGAGAGCACCTAATCCACAACTCTAATTTTTACTCTGCAGATGTCTTCCTTGGACGACATCCCGCCACTGTCGACATTTGCAAGAGCCTCGGTAAGAAGGTTTCTCAAATTAGTTGTCAAACAATTTCTCGCCTTGGCCAACAGTGAATGAACTCTTCGCATCCGTAAAGCCAGAAACGGGCATCAGATTTCCAAGCACTCATTTTAGAAAAAAGAAAAATGTCGAGGACATCATATATTGTTGCAGTCTATTCACTCCATGCAACACGACTGGCGCGGCCGCACAGCCGTTACCGAAGGTAGGCAGCGAGATCCCCAGCAAAACGAGACCCCGCCGCGTACATTGGTACTCATTGAAGTCGGAGCGGCAGGGTTGCGCTGAGTTGACAGCGTGAACTGCTGCATCGTTAAGTGCTCCAATAGTTATGCGTCGTGCCTCTTGAAGACAAAGTTTCACCAATGATGAAGAAAGAATAAAACAATTAAAACAGAGTACAACACAACCACATCTTTCAACTAGCAACAGACGAGTAAACTTTCAACAGCAAGCAGCCGACTATACCCAGTAGGAGTAGGGGAGGGAAGGGGGAGAGAAGGAAAACAAGAGAAACACGAAGTGCAAGTCAGGCTGGTAGGGTTATCTCGGATTCTTTCTTCATCCTTGACTTAAACCAACACGCTCTTCTCCCAAGAAAGTTTCTCCGTTTTTGAACTCACTGATGTTTTGTGGGACAGCGACAACGATGGACCTGTGCCGTACAGCGCGAAAAATTTGATCTCCCAATCATGTCTGCCATTGTGTCGGCACGGCTGACATATTTTACACTGCCATTTTGTGCTCCAAGTTTGATTTTGTAACAGTAACGCCTACATATGTTAGCACCGATGGGACAAACTGACATACCATCCCACACTGGCGGGTATGCAGTGCCAATTTCATTGGAGGAATGCCCTCCAAAGACATTTCGTCCGCATGGTACGTGTCAATGATTTTTCCGGACCAGTATGACTGCAGTCTGTACTTCATCAAGAAAGATTTGGACGGTGCAAAAAGTGACAAATATGAATATAAGGAAAACTGCAATGAAACTTGGAATCACTGCACAATTAATGTTTCAGTATGGCAGTTTATGTGGTGTGCTTTCTTTTCTGATCAGCCTCCTTTCAGACGTGGAAATCGCCTTTTTTCACATATAGGGTTGCCAGTAGGCAGTAGGTGACTGCGAAGCAAAATGCCAGAATTGTTTTTGATCAAATTAATGCAAAATAACTAGTACATTTTAGTTCAACGTGAGCGCGTTGGTGAAGCAGAAAGAGTAAACATAGGGACGGAAAGAATAGCACCTCTTTCGACTATCAACAATTTTTTTCAACAACTTTTACAATTTTTGTGTTGAAAGTCGAAAGAGGTGCTGTTCTGTCCGTCCCTATGTTTATTCTTTCTGTTTTTATTTAACTAATACATCTCAATAAAAAAAAATATTCTTTAAATTTTAGAAAAGTCAAGTAAATCAGTTTTTTCTTTAGGTTTAAACAAAATATAAAAGATTTTTATATACACACATATATATATATATTTACTTTACGTAAAAAAATGTCATTTGTTTTTCCCTAGTCTTTTTGAGCACAGGAGATGGATTGTTTAATCTACTCAATCACTGAAAACAGTGTAAAAGAAAGATCAATTCAAAACTTCTTTTTCTATATATAAAGCACTTTATACTAGAACAAAAAAAGCTTGCTTTGTTTGGTTATTGAGAAAGCCTTTTTTGCTGTAATACTTCATCAAAACAAAATAAAAATATCTTCAAGTTTCTATGAAAATGCCCAGGAAACAGCTTGTTCCTGCCAGATTTTTTTCACAGCTCCGTGCACTCTGTGCCACTGTTGCCGTTGCTTCTGAGGTTGGTTCCAAACAAAGTATTAAAGGTCTCTCAACCGCACTAAAAATAAAATGCAAAAAAAAAAAAAAATATATATATATAATGTTTTTGTGAAAAATTATTACAGTTATATTGGTTTGGCTTATATCACTATTTAAATCATCTTGATTTTTCTTTTCTACCCTGAACTGAATGAATTTGTGGTAGATTAATTTCAGGATATAGATGCCTCGTCGATTATAAGAAAAAGTGCAGCGGTCACATTTTCTAGAAGCGGAAAGGTTTCTTGTCAGAAGTCAGCATGCAGTGTGATTGATGGAAGATGTAAAATTTATTTTCTGGAATATATAAGAAGCAAAGAACAGCTAGATGTCCTTCTTAGGTCTGCCCCAGCCCTCATGCAACATCACCCTCAACGTATCGGCTCAAAAAGCCAAAGTTCCATCCGTGCGTTCTTCCGCCGAAACAGCTTCGCACGCGAAAAGGTGCCGCTGAACGCATCTCACATTCAAACGCCAACTCCGCCGCTAGTGACGTAACACAGATTTTTTAAAGTGCCCCCTATAGTTCCCGCACGGAGTGTATAGAGATATCAGCACTGTCTAGACTTCTCTAGAAACGTCTCCAAATTTTCTTACTGGAACAATGTTTTGTACCTAAAATCATTTGAGAATTGGTTTTGTCAAACCTATAATCATTTGAGAATTGATCACCTGAAGAAAACCCTCCCCCTTTTCCTTGTCTGCAGGATTCTGAACAGACAGTGGTGCACATCTCTCTCTTGAAGAAAGAGAAGAAGAACACATTCCTCTCCAAGTCCTGCCCAACAAATCTCAATATTTTAACAATGAAGACAGCACCACCGCCACCTACTAAGGTAAATGGTTCGTGGTTGCACGCATGGAACAGTGCACAACACGGTTTGCTCGTTTGTGTGCCGCCTCGAAGAATTCCTTTATTTTAAAAAGGAGACTTAACAAAAGTCCTTCTGTGGATGAAGAATACTAATGTAACAGATAGAACGGTAGGGCGTCTAAACATGATCGTTGCCTTCCACCATGCTTTGGCCACGCATGCACGCACAAAGTTCTCAAAACGCCAAAGTCTTGTCGAAGGTATGAAGCTCACGCTGGATGCGAGACGAGTGAAATTTCTCCCTGCCGTCTTCATCTTGACAGCGACTATAGCGACTTTCTTGCCAAGAAGGTGCAGGAAGACGACTCCGACGAGAACTTGACGACGGTAGGCATACGACAGAGCAGTTTCCTCTCTGATGCGTCGACTCTTTAAAACCTAGTGTCCGGATTTGATTGGATAGTGTCGTCTACATCCTCGTCTGCTGACATTACTCGACCTCCGAGCACTCTGCTCGACGGGTTCCGTCGGATTGTGGTGTGGGCTGTGGTCGGATTTGAAGCCAAACAAAGTATAAATCCCCCCCACGTTCTCTTCTCAGCAGGCAGACTCCGACTCGGAATCTCACACGGCCACACTCAAGAACGACAAGGAGGAGGAGAAGGCCCTTCCAGACCTGAAAGATCTTCTGTCCCAGAAACAGGCGCTTGTAGCAGAACTGGAGCAGCTCAAGCGAGAGGTGCACAAGTACCGGCGACTACGAGAGCAACTCAGGGCTTCCGCCAAACAAGAACTAGTCCAGCTCGGCGCGTCTACCGTGGCCAAAGAGCGGTCGATGTGTACGGACGTCGCTCGACGACCGCGGAAGTGCTCTCCACCTCGTCAGAAGACCGTCGCACGGTGAGCTCGATGTGCGGCAACGCTAGTTGCACTGAGCGATATTGGGAAGTACCCCGCTCACCGAACTTGTCCAGAATACGTGAACAATGTTTTATCTCTCGGGAAGGCTATCCTAGAAGAAGTAAAAACACTGTTCTACAACGTAGTGCTTACCGGAACAGTCCAAGCAGGAGAGGCGGCTCACTCAAGGCCGAAATCACTCCTGGACCAAGGACGTGCGGGCAATCTTTTCTGCGAGACAACCTTTGCTTTTCGCCTTAATTGTAGACACATAAAATGCTTACGGATTGAATTCTTCGATCGCCGACTACTTGGACCGTCACCTATGCGTCTTCGTGCGAAAATGTGGTGACAAGTATAGGTTGTCTGGTCTGCAAAATTGTTGCGGTGTATACATTGAAAGCAGAAGTCAAATAATGTATGGGTTTTAACCAAACTTTGCACGGACCAACTTTGGCTAAAACTCTCTCTAGTTTAAGTGAAACTCGACTGAAACATGGTAGAGTTTGGCTAGAGTGAGCACAAGACTGGAGTCTCATGCATTCGTTTCCATTCTCTTCCACCATTAGATTGGTTAATTTTTTTATTTATTTTGATTCATTTGTGGCACAAGGAATTATTCATTTGGATCGATTACCCAGCTCCACCTTGCATTAGAACCAAAAAGGCATGTTATATACCACACTGCTAACTCGGTGCTGTAGTGCCGATGCAGATGCAGTAGTAGATGCAGTGCCGACTTTATGCCGTATCAACGCTGCATCAGCACTCCTCTACGTGTGACCCCACCTCTTCCAGCATACACACACAAGTAGCGCTAACTCAGTACAGCACTGAAGTAGCACCGATACAGCGCCGAATTTGCACAATCTCAGGGCTACAAATGCAAGCGTGGCCTTAAAATTAAACTTTGAAAAGTTTCCACGCTATCTTTTAGATCACCCCACATGGACGCAGGGGCGGATTTAGAGGGGGGGTCCAGATGTCCTGACCCCGCCTTGATTTCTGTATGTGTAAAATTTAGGGCGTAAAACAAGGGAGAGGCGGAGTGTGTTCCTAAACATGTGGTACGCTCACCAACACCTGACCCCCCCTCAGGAAATTCCTGCATCCGCCCCTGCATGGACGGACCTCACGAGAACTTCTTGAATCTGTCCACCTCTTAGGGAGACACCAAATGCCGGGGAGAAAACCAAGCAGACGACGGCGGCGCTGGTTCCGGCCGTTCAGCCGTCGCTCGGCCACTCGGACCTGTTACGGCTGAGCCAGCGGTTGGCCCACCTGCGTCATCGACACCTCCAACTGTCCCTTCGGGCGGCACAACAGGTTGCCGAGGATGCCCTAGCAAGGTGGGGATCATTTGGAGCCAAAGGGTTTGCTCACACTATCGCGAGTTTGCTCACACTATCGCTGGCTTGGCACACGAAAAACAACAACAGGGACTCGTTTTTGAACACTTTTTTTGACAGGTCGTTGAAGCTAGAAAGCCTTGATCTAAGAGAAGAAGTAATTCAAGTGCATTTGCAGTTTAATGGCAGATGAGTCCCATACAAATTGATTGGTCATGCTAGAGTTTCCAACTGCTCGGTCGGGGTCATGCGGTTTATGGCTTGCATTTGCAAAACGAGCTGGGAGGATGGTGTCGAAAGTGTTGGTCGTGCTCGCCACGCGAAAATGCAGCGCATGCACATTGCAATCAATCGCCGCAGGAAGTGTTTGCCATTAAGTTGCTAACACTCCCCGTGGTTTGAGATGACGCTCTCTTCGATCTAGGCTCTCCACCTGGCAAAAGGGGTAATAGGCGGGGAGGCTAAGCAAAGCTTGTAGATGCAACGCTCTCACCTCCCCCTCGCATCTTTTATTGCAAAGGCAGCCCATAAAACACGTGACCCCAATCGAGCAGTTGGAAGCACTCTCGAATCTGGGCACGCCAGCTGATAAAACCGACAGAAAGAACCGGGGAAGTACTTCCCTCAACTGCTTCAGTGCCAACTCACTTAACAAAATGTCGGCTTTCGTTCAAAGGCTTACAGCCCAAGACTTCTTGTCCAGTTCCAACAGCCGTACAATTTTATTTTTTTCTTTAAAAATGAATCCAACAATATACCGTAAAATCCCGTACGGGCACTGTCCCCTGAGAGATTGCCCATCCCTTTTTTGTGGCTAAATATCCGTAACATTAAAATTTTAAAACATTGCCCACCCCCCGATTCCCACGCCGTCCACACCCCGATCACACGGCTGACGCGATTCCCGTCCAACGTCGTGCGATGTCTGACTGGACAAGTTTGCAGCAAGTTTCAAGGCTGTTATGGGCTAGGGTCTAGGGAAAAAATGCGTCCTCACATGTCAACAGAAAACTCCCCATTGGTTGTGGCAAGTATGAAGAAATGAAAACGCAGTGTCTAGCGTTACATCCAACGGAACCCGAAATAAAAATTAGAGTTACGTCCGACGTAACTTTACGTCAAGGATTCGAGTTATGTTCGACGTAACCAATTATGAAGATTAAAGTTATGTCCGACGGAACTTCAAATAAAAATTAAAGTTACTTCCGACGGAACTCGAAATGAAAACTAAAGTTACCCCCACCCGCTGCCCATTTCGTACTGGCGTAGGTCGTCATACCGGCACCATAGGCGTGCACAGGGTCCTCCTATAGGGGGGGCCGAGTTTCACTGCAGCGCCCCCCCCCCCCCGTCTCACCGAGACCCTTACGCCGTAGGGGTAAGGTGTTCTAGTGTACCCTAGTAGGAGTACACTAGAACACCATATTTTAACAGCTAAATATGACTTCCAGGTTTACTTCAGTGTCACCATAAAACTACCCTTGAGTTTACTTTCCCGCAGATTACTTGGAAGTCTAATTATTGCGGTTTACAAATGGAGCCCGGAGAATGATAAGGCTTGAAATATGTCTGAACCTAAAAACTAAATCTGAGCTGTGACACTGAACATGAGGTATTGCCACGAAACGTCATACTTTATAATGCCACTGTTCAGACTTTATTTTTACGTGTCATCTTATCCATATCCTCAAAGACCGCAGTAATTGGATTTGGGAGTGCTGTGCGTGAAAGTGGACTTAATTACATGCGCTTCGAAGTGTGGGAGAAATGAGAAGATGAGATAACTTTTCTAACAACAAAAATGATTTATTGCCAAACAAAGGTGGAAACCCCCACGATAAAGAAACCACAGCTTGCGCTCGTAGGGCACAAGCGCCATAACAAAACACAGAAAGAAAATGAATCACACGAGGGCTCAGACGATACACAATTTCAATTCACAAGCGGTAGACTCTAAAAAAACATTCAACACAACACTACAACAGGGTTGGTGCAAATGAAAACAGTAACACACAGTAAAATTAACTACACTATACAAAAGAACTATTCAAGCTGAGCTGTGCAAAAACACTATTGGTGTGAGAGGCGAACCTTAGTTCGGACGGAATCAGCTGTAAAGCACCCTCTTTCGCCGGCTGTCAACTAATTAAGAATAAAGTAGAATTATGTGACATTGTAGGTTAATGCGATAGCATATCCTGCAAAATTGAAACACATTCATAACAAAAGTTTGAGCGTTTTAGTCGTAAAATGCTTTAAGATATTATCAAAACTGATGGATGTTGCTAGGTCCTGCTCCACAAGGGGCAGCATCAGCCAACGAAGCCGTTCCTGCAACATCGTGGATCTTAACTTGGTCTTTGCATGTGCGAGCTTCGAAAATGTCCTTTCGCACGAGCAACTGGTTACAGGAATCGTGGAAAAAAGTTGAAGAGCGCTACAAAAGTCCTTGAATACTGACTTGTCCAACCCATTTTCTTTGAGTGAATCCAGCCAGTCATAGGCGGTCATGCTGTTTGCTTTTTCATAGTTGGTTCGGGACTGCTGGAGCCGCATTTCAGCACGCAAGCTGTCGGGGTCTACCTCAAAAAAGCTACAAATAAGAGATATTTGTTCGTCGCTCGCAGAGAAACCCAGAAGGTTCTGGACAGCACACACAAGCTCAAAAGTTTCTTGTGTGAACCTTTCTTCGATCCCTCAAACACAGGAGTCAAGCATCGGAAAGAAAACACCGACACGAAATTCCTCCTCTTTTGTCGCATAGAAACATTCATTCGCCCAGTTTTGGTCAATTTGCTTCGATACCTTTCTTCTTCAAACTTCGGGAATCTCGATTTCATTCATCTCGCAGACCGAAGAAGCTTCCACAAACAGCTTTTCAAAGACTGTCCCATCTTGCCTCATCTCTCGCAGCGCTTTTTGCAGATGCCTGACTTCATTGAGTGCAGTGGTAAGGTTAATTTTAGGGTCCTGAAGAGCTCGGCTAACCTTCAAAATAAGCTGTAAAATAGGGTGAGCTATTTCCATGCTGCAGACAAATTCAAAGCTCATCAACTGGGAAAGGAGTCCCTTGCCTTTTGCTTTCGTTTCCGGGTGCTTTGTGGAGTCCACAATCGTTCTTACTGCACTCGACAGTTCGCTGTAGCTCTCACGAACGGCCTTTACTGCTTCAGCACGACATGCCCATCTGGTTGTAGACAAAGACTTCAAAGTTTTCAGCTGTGTGCCGACAGTTTGGAAAATTCGCTCAAAAATAGCATGGCACACAACACTGTTTTTAATAAAGTTGTATGCAAGTTGCACAACGCCAAAGAAATCAAACATCATTCTGTTTTCTGCTCGGGACAAACATGCATCGACAAGCACCAGGTTTAAGCTGTGGGCATAGCAGTGAACGCAGACGAGCTTGTTGTTCTGCTCTTTGCATTTTGCTTGAACACCAGCAACGTGCCCTGACATAGTAGAAGCCCCGTCAAAGCAGACGGAACTCACAGAATTCCAGGAAACATTGATGGCGGTGAGAACTGCTTGCAATGTGGAAAACACAGAGTCGCTGTCTAAATTTTTAAGCCTTTCGAGAGTAAGGAAGACCTCCACTGGCCTGTTCTTAATCTCGCAGAAGTACCTAATAACAACGGAGAGTTGTTCATGATGGACCGCAGTCACTTGTTTCGTCGCACATGAGCAAGATTGTTTTCCCTTCTATGCGGTGGACAATCGAAGAAAAAATGGCTGCATACAGTGACTCTAGGATGTCGTTTTGTATTCTGTTGCTGATGTAGGAGGCGTTCTTCGGGCCTGACTCTAAGTGGCCCCGCAAAACGGGGTCGTACTTCTTTAAGATATTAACTATCTCTAAATATAGACCTTGCTCTGCGCTTTTCTTATTTTCACTGTGCCCTCTGAATGGCCTTCCTCCCTTTGAGAGAAGAACAATGATGTCAGTAAGGCGCTTTAGCACCTCACGATTTTGTTTTCGTTTTTCTTCAACTTGAGATGCTCGTCGTTCAAAGCTTTCATCCAGCATTGAAGCAATCGATCTGTTTGCTTTGGAGCAATTCCGTGACACGACACTGTTAAGATGGCCCTCAGATCTGTAATGCTGATTAAACCTTTCTATCGCTTTCTTCCAAGTTCGAAACCCAGTTGAAACAAAGGATGGGTCTAAATGTGCTTTGGATATACCACTCCCCGGCGGAAACGCCCAGCAACAAAAGCAAAAAGCTGTATCTTTTGCTGGAAATATTCAAGCCAGCTGAACTTTGCAAACCAGTGTTCACAAAAGCTGCGCTTTCTATTATTTGTTTCTGTTTGGGCATAGCTGCCTAGATGAGGCTGAAAAGGACCCCGTGCCTGCCTGGCTGGCTTGTCCAGGTCGGCATTGGCAGCGACGGGTCGTCGTCAGACACCTGGTTCTGGTTGGTGGAAAACGTTGAGCAAAATCTCGGAGGCTCATCTGGTGCATCAACGATGTGGCTTGGCGTCGTGGCACAGCTTGGCGTCTGCGCACAATTTGGTGTCGTGGCACAGCATGGCGAAGTGGCGCAGTCGTCAGCTTGCTGGTGGCTGCACATCTTTTCCGGTTCATTTTGTTCATGCTGCTCTTTGCAGCTTGTTAACTGTGCTGCAAACAAATAAGAGAAGTATAACTTTTTAGTTTCCTTTTTACCTGTTAACATGGCTCTTAGAACACGCTCGAAAAAAAGTCTGAGTAAACAATTACGGGACAACTGCGCCAATAATAAATATGTATTCCTGGAAATTTTACGACAGCTTTCTTATCGACAGCTCAGCATAGTCCCTCCGAGCTAACAGCAACCGCTGCTCGGAGGCGTGCCAAGCACGGCCTGCTGATTGTGTTTTCTACGTCTTAACGTAAACAACCTTTTTGAAAAAACTAGGTTGCTAAGAAGCTAGATTTTTTTTTTTATGTCGGTGACGTTAGTCGCGCTAGAGTTACTAGTCTGGCCGAGGAGCACTACCTTCTTTGTTCATCGCGACAGAAGTTCGCGCCCTTCTCGTATAGTTAATAATTTCGAGAGAGATAATCGTGGACAGAGCATATACACGACTCAAACATTTTAAGACTGCGTTTTATTAATGGTGAGCACTGGCGCTGGGCACGGAAATGCCCCGAGTTGCTGAGTGCGTCGGTGAAGACAGACGAGGCTCTAATAGAAACAGTGCTAAATTCGTTAGACGCTTTTTCCTTTGCGAGGATTTAAACATTCATGAGTGGGTGCGTTTCTCACTCTTACTGTTGCCTTTGTTCGTGAGGCGCTTCATTCACCTCAACAAGATCAGTCATTTTACTCAACAGGGTCCTGTTGAGGAGCCACGCTATCGTCTACGAACAGACTTAGTAGAATAATGACACCGACACGTGCTGCTATATCGAGACTTCTAGGGAAAATGGTATGAATAATTTAACCAACTAAACCGAGCTCTGGAAAGAATTCAATTGTGCCTTTAACAACGAAGAAAAATACTACAAGGTCAGTTTACTCGTTTTTTCTTGGAAGGATCGCATTATGTGAATGAAACGGCCTCCAGGAAGCCTTAATACAAAAGCAGGCGTACTGAACGTCCCTGAATTGACTCATCCCATCACCAAACCAGTACCGATGTGCACGGTGGACCCCTTCTTTCGTTTCTAATAAATTGCACTGTTCTCTCTTTCTATACTGCTCCGGCAATTTATGGGAGTCTAAAATAGCGGTGTCGTTTGCAAGGGCACCGAGAGGATCTTCTTTCTAACATTTGCCACACATTCAGTTTTGATTGCCGCCCACTAAACTACCAGTATACTATATACCCTGTAAATATTTCCACAAGTTGGACGCTCGAAAAACTTGAAACTAAAGTGTTCAGATTACGCTGTATGAACACCACCTGGACTTGTCGAATCCTGTTTAATACCTACGTCTTCCTTACGAAACATCATTACACTACTACGGCGTCGACTCGTCGATTATGCACCGAGTGTCCGCGGAAACACGGATTAGACACGAGTCATTGTCGAACGCTGACGTAGAGCTAAGACTCTGATTCACTTTGTAATTTGTACCCGCTCTCGGTCGTGGCTTCACACTTCAAGTGCACGAGCACTGCCATAGTAAAGGCGGTAAAGTACAGTTGGAACACGGCCCGACAGAAGACTGAGAAATATTTGCGATAATTTTTGGACCTTCTGCATGCAACCAATATTCCAGTTATACGGCGCTTTCTTCGCAATAAGCCTCGGCCGAGATTCGAACCGGTTAAAACGGGGAGGTATAGGTGGTGGTAGCTGTACTATACAAATAAAAAAACAAAAAGGATAGCAAATGCGAAGACTGTCACCTTACCTGGTTTCGCAAGCCATGTTAGTAGCCGCTTCCGCTGGGCTTCATTCTCTGCTGACTTCTTTTCCCGTAATTTCTTGAACTCCGCTCCAGAGAGTTTGCTCAACGACATGACATTGATGTGCAGATGGCCAAAGTAGAAATGATGGTGGGCGTATTCACGCAGCGATCTTTGGTAGGATGCGGTTGCAAGCAGCGCAGGTGGCTACTTAACTTGCTCGATAGCCTTAGCAGCGCTACTCTACTTAAAAAAAAATCACTGAAGATGAACGTCGTCATACCTACTTTTAAAGAGAAAACGCTGCCACGTCGTCACCTTCGACAAACGAGGGGCAGTCAGTTCACGACTAGTGACGACATGGGCGCCTTTTTTTTTTTAACAGAAAGGGCAAAAGAAATAAAGGGAAAAGTATTTCGGAAAGAGTATCCTCTTCGACTTCTAAATGACCATCTAGGAGACTCCTAGATGATTGGCTTTGGAAGTTACCTTCTCAGAGCTTTAGGGGCAGCTCTAAAAGGTGTTGTTCTTCCCCAAACTATGTGTCCGGCTGTCAGAGGCCCTCAATCTGAATATTGCTAGCAATCCACATGTTCGTGTACTTTTCAAAATCCCCAAACGCCTGTCTATTATCCTGTGAAAACTACGTAGTGTGTGCTAAACACGAGGATATCCCGATGGCCCTCTTCCATCGCTAAACCACCCAGCCGACCTTCCCTACTCTACAATACAACTGCTCTTCCCCGCTCTAGGCTCTAGCCCGAACCAAGAAAGCTTACGAAAACCGCTTAGGCTTCCTGATAGAATTGCAGATTGTCTACAAATGGTCACATCAACCTCATCCCCTCAATAACCTGAACCATTTTCTAATCTTCCTTCTATCCATTTGACCTTTTTGGTTTTTCTTTCTTCCAAGCCAGGTAGCAACTTCTTTGGTAGAGAAGGCCCACATATCTCCCCACCTAAAACAAGCCTCGGACAAACAAACAACCTCTCGGACAACCTCTCGGTTGTCCGAGAGGTTGTCCTAGGCGTCGTCCTCGAGGTTCACGTCAAGATGGAGGATTAGCTTCACTGATCCTCCATCTTCAGGTGAAGTGGATGGGCTCTATAATTCTGTTTATGATCTGCAGGTGCGATATCGGTTCTCATGGCACGCAAGTTTATAGCCGGTTTCTGCATGTTCATTGCTCCGTGAAACACAGAATCTGCGGCATCCTTTGCTTTGACACAGGAGTTGGTAGCGAATTCCCTCGTATTTATCGCATTGTAAAACACAAATTTCCCATATCCGCGATACGAGTTCCCATGTCACGTGGCTTGTAATGGGTGCCCGTCTTCATCATTAATTTTTTACAACGTTCTGCCTTCTTATCCTCAATGATAGCCCATCCTCGTGCTTTTCACCATTTCTCTTCATTTTGGGCAGGCACACTCGGGGGATTTCACGGTACGACCAGACAGAAAAGCAGTTTAGTCTCGTTCGAATATGAACCTCAAAAGTGTTCAGCATCCCAGGTGAATATCAGCGTAGCTGAAGCTGGATCATGGAACTGGTCTCTGTTGAATTCAGCTTGGACCAGTTCCATAATCTTGCTCCAGCTGGATCAATTCCCACACGAGATTGTGCACCTGTACAACATTCATTAGCACGCTCTATGTTCCCTCTAGAAGACTGATATCTTATTTTTTAATTTCTTCCTAGTTCCGTCGTAACTCAACCAGCCTGCCAAGATCCCACAAGCAAGGAGCTTTTCACTTCTGTCAAGGTAACTTGGAAGTCAACTACATTCGCAGACAGGATGAGGTTGGCAGAGAGAACCTTCATCTGTCCAGCACGAGCTTGCAGCGTTCCACAGCACTTTGGCATCTCAATAGCTCCGAGCATGCTCGCACAGCCAGAGCTTGTTGGGAGGCAAAGAGCGCGCTTCTCATCCTGTCGGCGACTATCAACTTAAAGCAGACGACTCGCAGAGTGTCTTCATTGTCGAGGTTGATTACAATAGTACCATATTTTCCTGGCTATAGACCTTTCCAGCGGCAGTCTCGAACGAAGAGATTTCCAGCGCGCATCCCTGGTTTTGAGAGTGTACGTCAGTGTTGCCCGACTGCGCTGAGCTGTGGGTTTTCTCGTCAGTAGGCTGTGGAAGCCTGCGTAGGAGCAATTTTGAACGCTTGTGGCAGCAAAATCATCTCGCTGTATTTTTTTGTTTTGTGTTCTATGGCGAAGAGAATTTCTCGAAGTTTCTAAGAAAGCAGTGAACTATTTTTGGGAACAAAAACTAACAAATCAAAGCTATTTTCGGCGAGTCCGTGCGCGACAGAACAAATGGAACTGGGATGTTTGTTTCATTTTATGCGGATCTTTTTGACGGCATCATACACTCAGCCATGTCAAACTACAAAGATCTTGACTGCCTAGCATATTTGACCACACAATAGGATAGCCGAACTGCATGGGTATTGCCCGCTCACTATATGAAATTCAACGAGTCTCATCAATCGAACAACATATATTGTATGTACCCCACAATGTCGTGTTATCCGAACAGGATTTTAGAAAGGTCTCAAATAACACAGCATATCCAATACACAGTGTCGACGATAGTCACTTCACGACGATCGGACGGAATCCGGCTTGTCTTGGGGTACGTTCTGAAGAGTGATGTTTTTTTACACAGCACTAAAGCAAATGAACGAACTTGTCTATTTAGTCCCCATATCCCCGACCCTATCAGCTACTTCTCGCCAAGACCGGGAACATAGCCAGGAAGGCTTTTCGGAGATTATTTTAACCGAAATAATCCTCGAAGAACGTCGAACGGCGCGCTTTGCGGGCTGCTTGACGTTCGCTCTCTTCACTCGCTCTCTTCATTCGTTTCCTGCGAAGGTCGAGCAGGCTACGAGCCCTGGTATTCCCTGGTTCTCACAGTTAAAGATTACAAAAACACGCAAGCATCCTAAACAGGCAAATAAAGTAAAAACTTCCAAGAAAAGCCGGCGAACTTCGAACACACAATGCAGGTGGGGAGTCGCGCTGACCGGGTTTCCACAGCTCAGGCGAATGGCAGAAGTTTTTGGCTGATAGGGGTCGCTCGAGTCCCAAAATGGCGGCGGCCAGCGAGCTGTTTTTGCAAAGGTCTATAGCCCGCAGAAGCCAATTCAGGCCGAAAAAAAAAAAAGCTTTGCTTGATAGATTGCACTTCAATCATAGTCTGCCCCTGGTGCTTAGTCGACAGGAAAATCTCATACACGGGACACCTTGACAGATGTCTGCTTTCTTGGCTCACCAAGAAGCTCGTATTATACATAAATCATCATTAACATACTCTTTCGTTCACAAATTCCGTCACAATGAACGATCCTGTACATCCGCACAGCCAGAAATCTTAACTTTTAAACATGTACAGTCTGCGGACTATAGCCTGGAAAATATGGTACTCCATTATGCCAGGGAGGCCCTTCACCACAGAGATAACCACGACGGATCGTTTCCCCCACAGTTGGCAGCGACATCCGAAGCGATTGCCTCGCATCCGGGAAGGGCCCTGGTCGAAAAACCCCGCACCCGAATGGAGTCTGCCCCCGGAACTCTTCCCCAGTGTAAGCCGACGACTCGCGAGTCCCTTTTACGCTCAGTCTAGTTACCGTGCCTAGAGCACATTTTCGACTGGTGCGTTTACTGCGTCCTCAAGCGTGGACCTTCGATGTCGTAAAAGTGTCGCGCCTCCTTTTTTGCCGGCATTTCTACTACCAACCGCCAGGGTCGCAGCGCGACACACTGGCTCTTGCGACGCAATTTGTTGGACCCCTTCTGACGCATGGGGGGGGGGGGGGGGGGGGTATAGGGCAGTCGACTCACGAGTCGAAGCGGCATTCCAGGCACCAGAGTCGAGTGCCCTTTCGGCATGTTGCAATGACCGTCGTTTGCAGGCTGGCGCCCGAGAGCGCCGACCCAGGAGGGAGACCAACCCGTTCCGTGGTCTCGAGCAGAGTGGACTGCCAAGTTGTCTCAGCTGCGCTGGAATCTCGGAGAGTGCGAACTGCATCAGCTGCTCATCAAATAGTTGCTGCCAAGAGCCTCCAGATTCCCCCGGTGAACAAACTCTTGGCACAATTAATAGGGTGCTGCCCAACTGTACATACAATAGGCCGCTATACAATTTGTTTTCGAGTGTATTATGGTACGGCGGTTTTAAGAAAGAAAATATTGAGGCAAAACCGCTTGCTTAGAGAGGTGCTCGTGTAGCACAACTGCACAACTTCGGGAAGTCTTTCTGGAGGATTTGGAAAGGCACCGCAAGTACCTGTGTTAGGAAGACTTTGCTGACAACTCGTTGGAGCTTGAAATTAACAGTACGATGAAGAGGCCTCGTAACCACTATTGTACACAATGATTGTTGTAGCTTGAGCGGACCAATATTTATGCAGAAGCATTCTAAACATTCCATGATCTTCCGTGATCAAAAAAGCAACGATGTTGACATTTAATAACCCCGGCTACACTCCGTTACATTGGAATTTGGCAAACAGCGATGGCAACAGCCCCAGCGAGCCAATTGGAGTGTCCAAGGTCACCACTCCTGCAAAGAGCCATTGCACTCTTTGCTCAGTTATCCAGATTTGCTCGAATGAGCCATAGTGTTCACTCTGTGCAGTGATGCTGAAACGGAGTATAGCCAGTCACCAAATTTCTGCATTGTTGCTTTTTGATTATGTAAACTAGTACAGTTGAATCTCGTTAAACTTGAACTCTCTTAATTTAAACTTGTGGATAATTCAAACTAACAGGCCCCGTTCTATGCGTCTGCACGAGAGGAAACTCCCGGTAATTCAAACTTTGCTTTATTCAAACAAATTTTTGGTCCCCCTCGAGTTCGAATTAACGAGATTCGACTATAGCACAAAAAGGTTTATATAGGATGTTTGTGGTAAAGCAGTCACTATAAATCTGGAGTAATAAGAGTAACCAGGGTTTCCACTGCACACATACCAACGTAACATTGAAAAGCTCGTACTACTACCGCAATATACCGAGCAAGCACTCGCCCAAACGTTAAGGAATATCACAAAAAAGTTGGGTCCGAGAACAAAAAGCTCTTTCACTAAACTGTTTGCGGTATTCTTCAACTCTCGTTAGTCCGAGAGCAAAAAAGCAGAAGGGGCACATTTTAGGGTAGGCCTTTGTTTGATCCAATGGAATAGACGTGGCTGCGCTCAATATATCTTTTGGTCGTAATTCGAACGTTTTAAAAGTAGGGCCAGGGGCTTATTGCGACATTGGCGCAAGCTCCATATCTTATGGTACTACACAGTACTGTTCGAAAACATGTTCACCGTTTTATTGAGTCTCCAGTGTCTTCCTCGTCAGGTGCCCTGGAACAAAGGCAAGCTGAAAAAGAAAGTCAAGCCTCTCTGCTGGCAGTTCCTGCTCCTTTTTCTGTTTTTCCGTCCCAAGAGTTCTACTTGCCCTATACTATTAAGATTTGCTGCAACCCAACACTTGTACCCACCCTGTCTTGCCGCAAAGGGACATTGCAGTTGTGATGGCAAGGCCCCAATCATCGTTCGTGAGTGGTGATGTAGGACTTGAGCTCGCCCACCGCTGGTGTTCAATGGGTAATCCAAACAAAAGCTAAGAAAAACTGACTAGAAGGTCTACTATATCGCATAAATTTGGCCTTTTCAGCAGCTGCAATTAGGTGGCAAAGGGTTTTCACCTAAATTTCGGTAAGTGAAATAAATAATCTAAAGAAAAATTTTTTTTCTACTGTTGGATAGGCATTGCTTTACAAGATAAAGTCCCCAGCAACTATTCAAGCCTTTTTTTTTTTTTTTTGTGGCAACAAAAGAAAAAGGCATTGTTAGTAGAAACAGAGATTTCTGTTTTTCAAACTCACTTAAGCAATCAAGCGGATGCTGAAATTTCAAAAACCTGCACCGATCACCTAGTTTCACCTTTGCAGATTTTTACTAGGCCCTCTGCTAAGTAACCAATTTAATTGTGCAATGAATCGACGACGCAGTGAAGTGAACCTTCCTGTATGTTACCACCAAAAAAACCTCAGCCAAAAAAAAAAAATCTGACTGGTTGGCAGCAGTCATGGTGGTCGCGAAAGTGTGCATAATAGGTGCCTCAAGTTTGGTGCAAAACAGCTGCAAGAAAGTAGCCACTAGAATTTAACTTGCTCTGAACAAAGTACACAAGTTGACAGCATTCGTGCAACGTCAGCCAGTTGTCTGGTTAAAACGCAACTATGCCCTCACCCAGGGGACTATTTAGGGAGATGAATGCCAATCTTCTCCATACCATAATAGCTACACTGAAACTAGAAGAAAATGATGCATACTAACTTTGTTGCAAAGCACTCCAACTATGGGTTACTCTCTTCAGAGAGCAACTCAAGGTCTACATAACTGTCGGTTGTATTTAACCTAATCTGCTTCACAAATGCTCAAGTCTCCTTTAACCTGTCTTGAACCTGCTGCTGCCGCAGTCGGCTTTGGTGCTAGTCGTTTTGTTAGAGTTTTGTCGTCGTTGGCTCACCTCATACTATATAAACTGTTGAAACCACCGAAAAAGAGAAATTCCTGTTTTATTTGAAAATGTTGGATACTACACCTGCCATGACTCGACAAAAAGCGGGGTAAGAATACACGTGGGCTCATGAAAAGAGGAAGAGAGCGCAGACTGCTGGCTCGGAACGACCCGGTAGCAGCCTTGCGGACAACGTGAGAAGCGAGTTCTTCAAGACTTCTGCTCGGCCCTGATTTTCTTGTCGGCCATCTTGAGTGCCACCCAAGTGTTCAGCTGGGATGCCCGCAGCTTTGCCCAGATGACATGGTCGCTCAGGCCCAAGATTTGGGCTGCAGCCAGTGCAGCAGCCTCCGGGAAAAGCACGGTGGTGCAGCCCAGCCCTGCAAGGTTTTCTACCATGTGAACATTCCACTGGCCAACAAATGTTGGACTGACCAGGAAAGAGCTTACAGAAAACATCAGCTGCAGTTAGATGGGACCCTCTGGTAAATGGACAGCAAGCATAGCTGTAAATTACTTAGTTTCACAAGAACCTAATTTGCACAAACTTTGCAAATTGAAAGTATTTAAAGAAAGAATTGGTCTTGCGAATATATTGCTCCACGGTAGCGAATGCATAGCAAATACAGATCGTAAAATATTGTTCCAATAAACATAATGTTGTTTATAGTACTTTTACAGACCTACATAGAAATTAACATTGGATATTGCCGCGTGCGAATAGCTGAGGCAGCAGCGTGTTCAACTTCCAGGCTTCTGGCTGGGGGTCAAACTTTTTATCTTTCTTTCGTTTGCATGACTGGAATGTTTCACACGACTCGAGAATTAAGTATACGTAGCAGAGCACCTTGGATAATTTATAGTTTACGCAGAAAGAATAAAAACACTCAAATGGACGAGGGAGAGACACAGTTCTTTCAACAAGCAACAACACGTTTATATGATGCCTATCGCACTACAAAAATCACTTTGGTCACAGAGGAATTGAAGGAGTTTTTTTTATTGGTATAACTCTGGCACGAGAAATTCCAGCTGTTTTGTCAAGGAAGGTTGTGACACATTGTCTGTGGCATTCTTGATCTTAAATGCTTCAATTATTTCTTTCTCATACTTGTCCTTGTGTGAACCCAGCACTGTAGTACCAGTCAAACCCGACTATATCGAACCCGTTTACATCGAATTAACCCTTATACTGAGAAATTTTTGTGCACAGTAATGTTACAGTGATAATATATAGCAAAAGCTATGGTTACATCGAACAAAAATAGCAGCAGCCACCGATATGTCGTACTGCTAAGAGCACTGTTTTGCTTTGCAAGCTGGCTTTCCCCCAAAGCGAGCGGCCGCATCGGGGGAAAGCCACCTTGCAAAACACGCTGGCCTTTTTTTTCTTTTTTTTTTTTTCTAGGCGGCCACATTGACTTTTTGGAAAAAAAATAATTTTTTGCGGAGAAAGCAAATGCTCCGTGCCGCCCCCCCCCCCCCCCCCAAAAAAAAAAAAAGACACTTTGCTTTGCTAGTTGGCTTTCCCCCAACACAGCCGCCTGCCTTAGGGGAAAGCCAACTTGCAGAGCAAAACGGCGCGTCTGCATGGAGAATGGGCTCCTGCTCGGACGTGCTCCGTGCTCTCGGCATAGTTCGGCGCTAATGCGCAAATATGGAAGGCAGCGGCCTCAGCATTTTGGAGTCCGTCCATAGCGTAGAAAAATATCGTTATCGCGGATGCAATGAAGAAAAAGCAGCAGGAGATGCAAGACTATTTCATTGTGTAATATATCACCAGAAAGTGGATTTTTGAGAGTCAAATTCATTGAAACAGTTATATCGAATTACCCGATATATCGAACTGGTAGACTTTTTTTTGCGAGTTCGATATAAACGGGTTTCACTATTTCATAGCTAGGGGTGTAATCATGGCAGGTGCAGGCATGCACAACAATTGGATGGTAAGAGTCAGATGAGACCTTGTTGACTTCTAGAAAGTCTTCCCCAAGGCGAACATTAAGGCATTGTGCCGTCTGGCAGATGTATTGGCTGCCACAACTCAGTAGAATAGAATAAATTGGCTTTACTTGGCATTTTGCATATTTGCTGGAGTGCTTGATATTGTGCATTCTGGTGGACGACTTTCGTTGTTCACCCTGTGGCACGATTGTTTTAACTTCATCCTTCATGCAAAGACCACCTTTGTATCGAAACGAGCAGCGAGACTAGTATGGGCCAGAAATAACTGAACCATTTAAGATCAAGAATGCCACAGACAATGTTTCAGAACCTTCGTTGCCCTTATCGACAAAAGAGGTGGAATTCCTCGTGCCAGAGTTATTGTAGAAAAAGCCTTCATCAATATTCTTTTTCAGGGAGTTAAATTCAGCTATCTTTACCTTTCTCCAATATTTTCGTTTTCCTTTATTTCTTCGTGACCAAAGCGATTTTCGTAGTGCGGTGGGCATCGTATAAATGTGTCATTGCTCGTTGAAAGAACTGTGAATGTCTGTCCCTCGTCTATTTCAGTGTTTTTATCCTTTCTGCACAAACTATGACTCGAGAATCTTGTTTGTTTGAGCTTAGAAACTTTTAGATACCCACACGTTTACAAACGACCTTCGCATGGCTGCTTGCGTCAGTTGTCCTTCCGTCGCCGTCAAAGTGTGTACTGTCTTCGTTACTTTATGTTTCTCGACACAAGTTCGCCCAATTAAACGTTCATTTCAAGTTTTATAATCAAGCTTATGTTTTTATGCGTGACAATATCGTCTACCGTGGAGCATATAACAAAGAGCTTGAATGATCCTTTGAGGATATCTGAATATTTCTGATGTTCTTTTTGCAGCTGCTTTCTCACTTGTTTATCTGCCCTGCCCTTTGCAACATGATGCAGTTGTTTGTTTCACGAAGTTTGTGCTGAGAACACTTTGAGCGAAAGCTCACGCTACAGAACCCCGGGATCCTGGGTTCAGTCACAACTCCTGACCGTGTCAACCTCAATGAGCATTGTAACAGTGTGCAGATGCGCATCACTACCGCGTGATGCACGTTGAAGACCCCAGGCCGCCGGTTGTACTGCACTGGCTAAATTTCTCATCTGCAGCGGAGACATCAGACATCCATTGGAGCTGACTAACTTCCTATGTCTAAACACACAACACAATTACTTTAGTTTGTGCTGGCTGCTTAATTGCATATTCCGAAGTCTCGCAGTGACGCCCTCCAGTGACCCCGTCCAGTGACCCCACAAAACGTTTGTCTATACTTCGTCTCACCCTACGATGGACTAAAGGCAAAAGTTACGGACCGCCAGATCCAATCACGAGCCACTCAGAAACAGTGCGATATTTCGCTTCGATGCAAGAATCAGTGCCCACGTCTCGGATCACTGATGAGGGGACAGGTGGATAGTGGTTCGAATCGAAGAGCACTGAGTGACTCAACATTTTTTCATCGCAAAGAAAGCCACCACATATAGGCTCTTTGCATCGTCTAAGCTAGAGAAATGATGTGGCGCTTTTGGATTCGAGCATGATTCGTCCACCCCTAATCAATGTTAAGCGTGTGAGAGAATAGCGTGGAACGTGATTGGACCTGGCGGCCTGTGGCTTTGGCCTTAGTCCATCGTATAGGCCAGTATCTTGACCGAACGCCAAGTGCGCACCCCCGTCCCTCGGACACCGGTCGAAAAAAGAGTCTAACGACGGCGGAGCGCAGTCTCACCGGAAGGCACGCGAAGCGAAGACCAGATGTCGTGAGGTCCCCACTCTCCAGACAGCGGAGGGCAGTTGATGACTGGGAAGGCAGAGTTGCCCGAAGTCACGGGACCCAAGCCGTTGCTCCTACCGGCCACACTGACAAACACGGTCGGAATGCCTTCACCTGCACCCCAAAACAACGCCAATGTTGCAGCACTTACTGGCAGTACAGCATGGAGTACTCCGCAGTAAGTGCAGTAGACAACAGACAGAACAGTGGACACTCGTTTGTCACCTTCAGATTTGACAAGAACCTCGTCCCCTTTTCCTTGAAAATCCACAGCAAGCGACAACGAAATATGCAGCAAAACGTTGCAGAGCTTAGTGACTAAGTCATGCAACACGGCTATGGACAGAGTGAAGACGATTTGCTCAAGTTACAAGTACACCACCAAGTTAAAAGCACATTGAAATTAATTTATTATGACAAAGCCGGAAACTCCCCGTGTGACTGGCAAAGATGGCAGTGAAAAGCAACGTGTTAAACCATGAAACAATTAGCGAAGCAACTGCGTCACGGTAGTGCCACGCTCCGCTCAGCCGGCTCGGTTGGCATCGAAATGGCCGACGGACATAGAACGCTTCGTGTATGCAAAGGATCGCAAGTAACTGCAAATCTAGTTTAGGTACCACTGCATTTTGCGATGCTCGGGAAACTTGTTAAGTGCAAACAGACGGACACAAAAAAGGAGAGAGCAATAAGTGCTTGTCCGTGTCCCCTTCTTTGTGTCCATCTCCGTTCGCGCTTACAAGTTTCCTGGGCTTTGTGTACCAGCTAGCCCAACACGAGCCTTGGATTCTACGAAATGGGTTCGAGGGTGCAGACGCAAAATTCGACACCAAAGGACTGCCTCCGGCGTACCTTCGTACTCGGCGATCAGGTCCAGCGACTGGTCGGTGTTCTTGTGTGCGGAGGCCACCCTGAGCTCGCAGGGGACTCCCAGCTTTTCGCAGGCCTTCTTGATCTTCTCGCAGTGCTCTTTGTCCGAGGGAGACCCCATCACAACTGCCACCTGAGACTTGGGCTTGGGGTTCAGTTTCTGTACAAAGGGAGGAAACATCTTAAAAACCGAGCTACGCATAACCATAAGCTAATCCCAGGTGAAAATTTCTAACTGGGGTCAGTTCGAATTTCAACTGGTTCAAATTGGGAATCCACATGGACCAGTTGAGGGTAAAATAACCATTCCCGATTGGGAGTCACCTGGCCATTCCCAGTAGGGGAATAAGTAAGAGTCCGCTAAGCTAAGAAACGAAATTTGTCAAGCTAGAAATCATTGCGTGCCAGCAGGAACTACTGTTCCTAATGAAAGTGAGCCCGTTTGTTGGAGCACAGTTGCACGAGACAAGGACGGAGTTTAGATACTGCAACGCTCGGTCCCGGTTCGAGCTGTGACCTGTGCTTTGTTTTCGTCAACATCACCTCAAAGAAGCCAAGTTTGCATTTTTTCACGTTCCCGATCCGCTTCGTGACCCATCTAGGGGTTGCGAGACAGGTTGGGGAACAGTACCCTAGGCAAAGCCGCGACATTGAAAGCATGCGCGACGGGTAGCCAGGACTCGCCTGGATCTGCTCTGCGACCCAAGCAAAGTTCTTCTTGACGGTCTCTAGATCCTGGTCGGTGACCTCCTTGAGGTTGCGGTACACCTGCTTGTCCACCATGAGCCTCTTGTCGCCAGAGGGCCACAGGCGCCACGAGTCGCTGTCAATGATGTCTGCCAACAGCAGCTCACCTGCAAGGTGAGCGAGGATGCCTAGGAACCGCCTTTCTCGCAAAGCAAAACTCCCTTAGACATTTCGTCAAATGCTATGAAGCTGCGATAGCACTAATACACCTAGTCTGCCGTGCAGTAATGCACACCTAATCTAAGACACCTAGTCTGCTGTGCAGTAAAGCACACCTAGTCTAAGACACCTAGTCTGCTAATACCTAGTCTGCTGTGCAGTAAAGCAGAGATAGATTTATGTTTTGGGCTTGGTCTGTAGAAAGACTTGATGTCACATGCATAGTGTTGCCCGGAATTACTTGGTTGACTTAATACTTGCAATTGTACCTAAAACAAAACATTTGTCTGAAAAATTTTTTCTACAAGTTTGATTTTGCAGACAAAGACCGGTAAGCACAGAATGCGTGAAAGGCCTTCCAGGGAAAAAGAAAAGGGCATCTGAACGGCAGCACCCAACGAAGATTTGTTCTCATTTCTGACCCACGCCATAAGATGCTGCAGCACAAGAGGAAAGGCCACAAAGCGCATGACCATGCAAATTAGTGTTTTGCTCGGATCACCGTCCCTCGCTTGCTCAGTTGGCAAAGCACTTGGGTCATGACCCCAAGTTGGTGAGTTCAAGTCCTGCCGGAGGATGGAGACCTTTTAAGTGGTTCCCTTGAGCACAATGCTTTTTGGTGTCTGATAAAATGCGCTCTGTGGCTGATAAAATGCATTCTGTGTTAAAAATTGCTGTATGTCACCTTTTTCTTCTTAAAAACGTGTTGACTTTGAGGAGGTAGCAAGTGGTCCCTCCCTCCTTTAATCCACACCTGCAGCAGGGAGGGGGAATCTAGGGCAGCATTTGTGCACCGCTTTGCAAAAACCACGATTTAGAGACCCGCTGTGTCAAAAGCTTTGTTTGTGGTCTTAATTGGATAACGTTTGCAGAATGAGAAATTCCAGACATTTCCAGGAATAAAGCTTTCGACGCAAGAGCTGCTCCTAAGTGAACTTCCCGAGGTGCAAGTTCCCAAGGCTTAGGTCGTGCTAACGTAATCTTAAGGTTAGCCAAGCTCATTTCCCCCTCTCTTTGGACAGTCGATAAACATTATTTCACACCCTTGTAACTGTGTGTCTGTGTGTTTCCTTTTACTGGTCCTTCGTCTTTTTGCGCTGTCTTGACCCATTCAATATGACCATCAACCAACTCGCCCAACTTTACACCTTCTTGTAACTGACCAAGGGTCAGATTTCGGTCACCGCAAAAGCGAGGTTTAATTTTCTTCTCGGGAAGCGAGCTCAGATGTTGTTTGCACACCGTTTGTCGGTTACGGCAAGCAGGGAGAGGGGGCTTGTCCTTTATGAAGTGTCATCAGAGACAAAAACGAAACTAAGAAAAACAGAATATGTCATCTGGATTATCTGCTTGGTTTGATTTCACTTTCCCACGGCAGTTGGTTCATGGCAGGTGATCCACTTTTCTTTCAGTCTGTTAGCAGACAACGTTCTGCGTTTTCACGTTTCATTTCCATCTGAAAATGACGCTCCACAGCAGACGAACTCCGTTCCGTGCCCCGTTCTTCGCTCCAGATATCAGAGCTCGCTCCAGAAGAGGCAGACTTAGACCTCACTCTCGTTCTTGCAGAGACAAAACCCTAACCCCAGGAGAAGCTCGGAAACTCGAGTTCCAACTCACCTGTCTGAAGATCCACTCCGTACTCCACCTTCATGTCGATGAGGCTGCAGTTGAGGGAGGCCCAGGCCTTCTCGAGGATCTCAAACACGGTGCGGCTAGTGCGCAGCATCACCTGCACCTCCTCGGGACCGATGACGGTATTGCCGCACTTGAGCTTTGCGTCCACGAGCTGCTCCGTGGACCATTGGGGGTCGTGGTTGGCGTCGTCCTGCCGGCACCACCATACCCAATCAACCTCAGCAGCGGCCACTAAAGGCGCAGCTCTGAGCACATGGAGTGAAAACTCGCGCTGCAGAGCCCAGAGATGCTGGGTTCAATCTTCACCCCCGCCAGTTTCGATGTGGACGAGCATTGTACCGGCGTGCGGTCGTGTCTTACTACTGCGCGATACATGTTGAAGACCCCAGGCTGGCAGAGGTACTGCACTGGCTAAACTTCTGATCTATGGCGTACAACAGCGTCATCGCATCTCAAAGGCAGACTGACCTTACGCCGTATGAAAACCATCTGAAATTTGGTTTTTCGTTTTGGCCACTAAAGGCTGATTCACGCATTTCCATCCGAGTGTGACCCAGCACGTTGGAACAGGTTATGACTGCTTACGACAATGAAGACCCTAGACTTAAGACAGGAACTAACTGGAACCACAGGGAGCGTTTGCAGAGTAATGGCGGACGCCTGTGCAGAATGCGTACGTGTGCGCGAAGGGTAGCGAGTGGAGGGGCCGAACAATAGTTTGAAGACCCTCGCGGACAATGGATGCTTTTAGCAATGTAATGGCGGACGCCCACACAGATTGCGTACATGTGCGCAGAGGATAGTGAGCCGAGGGGTCGAACAAAAGCTCAAAGACGCTCTCTGGCGATGGACGCTTCCTCCTCCTCCTCGCAGCTTGTATCGCAAACATGGCCCGTCATCCGCATGACCCCGATTGCGCAGTTGGGAACACTCAAAGCTAGTTGCACTACGACGAGGGACCACACTGGCGTCTTTTAACGGGTAGTCCGGGAACGCTTCCGCTGTGCATATATCATTCCTAGATTTTTATACACCATTATTTTCACCTCGTCTTTTTATGCCGCTGTAAGCAACCACTTCTCTGAAAGAGTGCAGATTTGATCTCGCACATACAGCAAAACCACCAGTCTAGTTACACGCGGTCCCAGGGCCACCTCATAGATGCTGCCCCGGTTCTCTTGTCATGGGTGTCTATGAGCAGTTGCAGTGTAGTTTATCGAACGGAAATGTGTGAATCGGCCTCGAGAACCAGCCGTCACGAGGCTCGTGGCTAGTCATAAATAGGCTTGTGCAGACTAAGTAAAATTTGAAAAATTTAAATGGCCTTTTTTTTGTTGTTGAACGGTTTTTGCAGTAAAAATGGCTCCAACCGCAGACTAAGGTTCCCAGAAGTTACCATTTGTATGACAACAGTGATTATTGGCTGCTATTTTCTTGAGTTGAGTTAGTTTCTTCTCAAAAACAAACCAAAACCAGACCTGAAAAATATTTATTGTAGAAAAAAAGATGTCTCAGGAAATTTGAAAGCTTATCTTGTGCCTAAATGAATAAAAAAAAAAATTAAGCGTTTCCATTTTTTAGTGCAGACCTGAAGTTTAGGGGGCGGGCAAGACCACACAGAGGGCCTCTAGAAAATGCGCACTTGTAGGTACCTTGAAGAAAGTCTCCAGCTTCGGCGGGCAGAAGCGGAAGCCTTCGTTGACCCCGGGGTTCCTCTTGAGGAAGGAGCCGGTGGCCACCCTCCTGGACACCCACTCGATGGGCACCATGGCACAGTTACGGGCCACGAAGGACTTGTCATCGTGCTTGCGCACAAAGTGCGTCTTGATCCCTGCACGCACGGGTTACTTTCCAAGGGAACGCACAACATCTGTTGCGGGTCTAGACTAGCGGGCCTTCCCACTCTCGCAAGACTTTCCTCCAGTGCTTGCTCCGCTAAAGTGCAAAAAGTGAGGCCTCATGGCTTGTCCCGCTTTCTTTTTCTTCAGACTTCGACGGCAACGACCGTTATTGCAAGGTTTCGCAGCGGATCCCCACGCGTTTCTTGTAGGGTCCTGGTAAAAATTTTTACTCTAAATTTAGCAAAATAATTTGTACACTTAGCAGACAAAAGGCTCGCTAAATTTAGAGGGAAAATTTCATAAATCCAGCATGAAATTATTTTCATGAGGTTTAGCGGGGAAACTCTTTTCACCAAAAATTGGCGGAACATTTGTTTCCAACGTTTGGTGGAAAACTTTTTTCCACTAAACGTTGCAATGTCACATGACTAGTCATGTGCAAATAGTGGATTTTGAGTTCAAAGCAAAGAGTAGTTTTGGCCAAATATTTTCGAATCGAATATTGAATAGTTTTTTCGATACTGAGTCATGCTTCAAGAGGTACTGCAACTAAATTCTAGCACCTATTTTATTGTTTGAATGTCAACCACGTTCTGGCCCCACCACGGAGACACCAATTTTTTTTTGCTCGAAAAACACATTATTTAAAGGTAAACCGAATGTCATTGCATCACCATGAATGTAAAAGCAGCAAAGACCCGCGGCAGTAAGGCAGCAAGCTGCGTCCGCGCAAGCCCTGTCGAGCCGGATTTCCCTTCTCTCCCAGCTTATTCAACTTGTCCGGGGAACGGGCAACTAAAAATGGCCAAGTAGCAATGCTTTGACGACTTCAATTGGCAGAGCTCATAACCACGCCAGCCTCCAAGCAGCTTTGCCAGTGCTGGACCAATTGATGTCGAGTCTGCAACGTCAATAGACCCTTTGCGAAAACCCCCAAAGCGTGCCGCGCGACAAATAGTGGGAGTACTCAGTACGCCCCTGTTATCGTCCTTCCTCCTGCTACCACGTGGAATATGGGAGCAGGCGCAAATTACCATAGCAACAACATGTTCGAGCACCCCAGAGTCGAATCGTCTGCCCCTTTCTTCATCTCTCTCCTTTGTACCGCACCGCCTCTTTCATCTGCTGCGCCGATGCTTTGTCAAACCTAGTCCAACCCGGCCACGGTCGCGGTGGAAAATAAGTGGATTCCGTGACACTGCAAGACGTGAAGGTAAGTTACGACCAATTACGCATTCAAATCACCTTTCGCAATGTGTTTACGCTGCCACAGATACGGTACGCTGCCAATGGCAGATGGGCGGGATGGCAGATGGCTGCGACGGCGGCTGGCCATAGCTGCCGCGATGCGCACGCAGTCGCAACGAGAAAGCGCGTGATCTGTACCGAGGGTTCCCAAAATTCCCTGCCGTCATGGCACTGTACGCTTCGCAACAGGTTTAAGGCTGATCTTCGAGTGCTTGCTGGAATATGTCCTTCGGTACAAAAAATATAGCCATTCCTTCAAAATAGAAGCGTGTGATTATCATTAGCAGATTGAGTTGATCATGTTTAACTCTCTTCTGAACGTGAGAGGTATATCTTAAGTTTCGATTCAGTATTCCTTTAAACGAAAACCAAGCTGAATTCAAGAAGGTTGTCCCCAAGCTTTAATTTGTTCATTCTAAGCTCAATTAATTTTAGTCGTAACTATAATGTCCAACTGTGGCCTCAAAAATTCAATGCCTTCATTGGGTTGGCAAGGAAAGGACATTTGATGTAAAATCAAATCTAGGAGATGCCCAGCTATGCCTAATCTAGGGGATTTATAAATATTCTCGGTATATACAAATACCTTTTCACCAGTCACGCATGATTAACTTGGGTTGTCGGTGCATCTCTGCCTAACATATACTTGAGCATAACAGCCAGTTTAATTTTGAAAAATTTACTGCCACATAGATATTAATATTTACAAAGTCTGTTTCTTTTTAAATACACCAGACGCGCGCGCCGCACGTGCACCATCCTGCTTTAAAAGTACTTTCCTCCTCAGCACGCGGCTACAATATTTATACTTTTCTGAGTATTGGTCGCGGCGCCCTTTTGAGTGCGCTTCTCACCGAGCACCGGTGCACTGGGGAGAAGCAACACCCTCAAAAGCGAGCTCCGCGGGTGTTGTTTCTCCGCAGTGCACTGGTGCTCGGTAAGAAGCGCGCTCAACGGGGCCAATTTGCCGCGATCAACACTTTGAAGTATACTACTATCGCACTTCACCTCGAGGCGGATATCAATAGCCTATTATTCGAAACTACCATTTCAAAACTTGCACAGCACTACACGTAACGTCATGCGAAACCGTGACGTCAAGTAACGTCATGGTTTGCGTGTAGTACCTCTGTAACAGTGCGGTGCCTCGGCTGTGTAATACACGGCAAGAAACAGTTTCTTTTTTTTTTTCTTTTTTTTTTGGGGGGGGGGGGGGGAGTTTAACTTGTTGGAGTTGGAAGGCACACGTCTACAATTCACTTGCTCGAAATGTAGCCCCATTGAAAAGCACGATGCACCCAACACGATTGGTACACAAGTCATTGCCAGTTTACGCCGCTTTTCTGCCGCAAGTGACACGATGTAATCAAAACTACTAGGGCGGTGGAATGTTCTCGTCCTTGGAAATAATTCAAAGCACTTCCATTTTTTGTCCATCAATACACCGTCCAAGAAAAATGCTCATAAGCGTCAACGTGGCGTTTGTGCCCCAAGTAGTTTGGGTGTGGCCTATGTTGTATGGGTAGAGGCTAAACAAGAATTAATAATTTGATATTTATTCATCCGTTCACAACAGTCAAATAGCTTTTTAGGGTGACAGTATGAAAATTAGACCAAATTGGTAAATTTAAAAAAGTCATAAATGTATTAAGTGAAAGAAAAAGAGCGACAGTAACATGCAAATGAAAACCATCAATCCAAGTGGGCAAACGTTGATGCCTCGAAGCTGAGCTCCGTCTAGAAGAGTGCCCCCCATATCAACCTCGTCGTTACCTTCACTATGTGGTCTTTCATGCTAATACTTCGCAGCGCACAACAGACAACACACCATCAAAACAGATACACACAAAGAAACAACACTCACGCAGCGCTGACTGTCAACTCTCGGATATATTAATCTTCGTTCTTATCTTTCACCCTTACGCACTAAAAAGAACTAAATGTTAACCAAGGAAGAACAGCGAAAGAAAAATAAAAAGAAAGGGGAAAGATTAATATAGGAAAGAAAGATGGAAAGAAATGGAAGAAAATAAGATCTAGTCCTACTACAGTAAAATTACTGAGGAGGTTTTCCTAAATAATATAACTCTTTTCTTGATAAGCTAATCGACGGGGTACTAACGCATACTCCGTCTAGCAGGTCTATGCTCGCGGCTTCGATGATTTCTCGAGTTAGTTTGTTGTTGCTTTTGAAGCTCATGTCGGTCATGTGCACGCAGGATTTCTTGAGGGAGTTTTTTAGGCAAAGTTTTGCAATGCCTCGTTTAACAAGTTTCGAGTGTGCGGAACTATGATGAAGTAGTGGCTTTTTTGCCCTCGGTTCATAAGACCAGCAGATGTGACAGTTTTTAAGGAACAATCGAAGGTCTAAGAATCTTATGGAATGCTCAACCGGAAGTTCGTGGGTAAGTTTTAACGGATCAAGGTGTTTCTGGAAGGTAGAAAGAACATCGGCTACCAAGGTGGGGAAGGTGCGACTGTTACTGTCAAGAAAAACCAAGTAGTCATCCACGTAACGAAAAACACGCACTATTTTAGAACTGTCTAAGTTTTGCTGTAAGATTCTGTTGTGGAATGCCAGAAAGAGGTCGCTGAGCACAGGAGCTATACAGGACCCTATACATATTCCTGTTTTTTGTAAATATGTTGATCCATTCCAGGTGGCAAAGGTAGAATGCAAATAGGTCGATATTAGGTCCAGGAAACCCTTAATGGACACCCCTGCTGCATTTTGGAAGGCTATTACACCAAAGGAGTCAACACTGTCCTCTATGCACATCAGGAGCCGATCTTGAGGTAGGGCATAATAGAGATCCTTTACATCAATAGAAAAAGCCATGAGTCGTCTGTCCTTTGGTTCTTGAAGAAATTGCAAGACGTCATCCGAGCTTCTAATCAAATACGGATCATTTATGTCAAGAAGGTTTAGTTTTTCTTGAAGGAACAAAGCGATGGATTTTTGCCACGTGCCTCTTTCTGACACAATCACCCTGAGGGGGCACTCGGTTTTATGTGTTTTGGCATTGAAGAAAATCTCAAGGCTAGACAGTTTTTTACGGTCAATGGATGAAGCAAGTTGCTTCAGGTCCAGCGAATTACATAATTGCTTGGCTCTGCTTTTGATTGTACTTAAGGAAATGTCATAATGGCACTGAAAAACGGACTCTACGGCTGCACAGGCCTTAGTGCCAAACTCGCTTTTATGCATGAGCACGAAACCACCTTCTTTGTCCGCAGGAAGAAGAGATAGGCTATGCTCTTTTAAGTATGCTTCGACCTTCTTTATGGACAGTGGTCTTACCGGATGTTTATGATGTGAAAGAACGTCTACACCTTCTGAAATGCACCGATCAACGTCAGTGAGAGAGGCTCTCTGAGATACCTGCCGGACCAAAGATAACAGCTCAGGTGCCGACTTGCGGGGTTCAACCGCAAACTTAGGGCCAAAGCTGAGTACCTTTCGCACTCCTGGAGGCAAGGAGATGTCACCAATGACATGAAGAGGTAGGCTTTGGGTTCTTGTCTTGCGAGGAGTGATAGATCTAAGATGCTTTAGGGTGAGTCGCCACAGAGACTCAGTTGTACGATCCGTCAGGATGGAGTACTCGCGCCACACTCTTCCTCCATAGGGTGGACTCGCTTGGTTGTGCAAAAACACGTACAAACTGTTCCTATAAAGTCTTGCCTGTCGATACCACTCAGCTTGTAGAATCTTGCAAAGCCTTCTGCCGTGGCCTACGGA